CACTTGGGGCATTAATATCCAATGTCCAGAAGAGAAAGAATGCAAAGCTGCCTCAGTCTTAGGAAAGTCTTTTCATGTTAAAGCCACAAAGTTGTTGCATTTTATTAATATATTACATTAGAACAACCGTTTCTTTGTTAATATAGAAGCAAAACAATTCATTATTTTTCTTTTTTGTGCATATTTAGGCCCCCTGTATCTCTACCAGCTTTGCACATGTAAACTTAGGAACTGGTCATATTGGTTAACCTCCCTAATCTCTAATGTGCAGATAGAATGTTGCACCGATTCCACATTTAATTATTCAGATTCTTTAATTTGGATTTCTATAGATTCAGATAAATTCTGATATCAGAGTAACATTACTGGGATTTTTTTTTAAAGACTCCTCCCAACAAGCAAGTGTATGTATGAATTAGGGCTGAAACAATTAATTAGATTGATGATGATTGATTAATTGATTAATGATAATTGTCAACAAATTTAGTCATGGATTAATCGTTAACTGGGGCAGAGAGACTAAAATATGCTTTTAGCTGACAGAGCAATCCATTTAGAGCAGTAATTATACCAAGATTGTAAAAATATATAAGCATTTTACATTTAAGATAAAAAAAAAAAGGAATCTGTAAATATTCTCTATCCAGAACTCCTCAAGTGGCAAAGTTTGAGTTTCAGCTGGTTTAATTTTGTAAATATTCTCCTTTAATGAACCTTTGGTGATCCGATTATTAATCGATGATTCGGTGCGTCTCTATTTAGAGGCTTGTGCAAACATTAATATCCATCTGTCTTTCTGTCATCTCTGACCAGCGTCACTTTCCCCGTACCTTTAGCAGTGCAATGCTGCAGTATCTGATGCACGGTTCGCTTCTTAACCACACATTTGAATTAAGGGTCAAATATCAACCTCACCTTTCTTGCCGTCACTCTGCATTGAGGAATTTCTTGCTCTTTACGATGCTGTTTGTTGACTGACATTCTCTAATGGGGAGATAACAGTAAAGTAAAGCACATGTGGCATCTGTTCAGAGCTGAATACCAGGATGCTTTAATATCAGTATCAACCAAACTGGTCATTTTGAAGGAGTACAGCTTGTGAAGCAGTGTATTTGTTGGATCATGTGACAGATTGTGATGCAGCTCCGGATTGTTTATGTTTACCTGACGCTGTCTGTCATGGGGTCCAAGCGGTAGGCTAACATGATGTCCGTAAATATATGGGATTAATAAAGTATAATTGAATTGAATAACGGCAATATTCACATTGGACTTTGATATTGAGCTAAAATCTATTGACGATTGGCCGTTATCGCCCATAACGAGTAATAGCTGATATTTAATCAGCAAAGGGAAATCCAGTTTCAGTACAGCTCGTGCAAGAAGACAAAAACAGACATTAAACATGGGGGGGACATGGTGTCCGAGGCCACGCTGCCGTAAAAGGCACTGTCCTTGAAGTTAGAAAAACAAAAGAAAGGGGAAAAAAAAAATGTTTTTCACACTATCCTTAGCAAGGTACAGTTTGAGATTGCAAAAAAAGAAAACCTCAGCACCTAAGCAATCCAGATACAACACATCTTGCAGAATATGGTATTTGTCCTTTAAAATAAATCACATTGCCATCCCCTCTCCTCACCCCAGGGAACAAGATTAAAAAATTTTTTTTCATCTAAGAAATCAATACCAATGTTAGCACAGATGTATCCTGCTTGTCTAACACACCAGCATGCCACACTTTTAGATCTATATTCTATATCCCATATATCGTTTTCACTACAAAATAATGGTGCTGCTTGGTGCCTCTCCTTTTAATATAATCTGAGGCTCTGCTCTGTCAGAGATCCACAGTAGAGTCCATCTGATGGTTATGTGCAACATTGGACCTTCAAGTATTGATGTGGCTTTTTAAGCCAGCGCTGGTTCAAAAACAGGCCTTGGATGCGCTGCAGAGTTAAGGCATGGCGAGGAACAGTCCATCTGTCCTCCATTGCTTTCAGGTGCCCAGTAAGCAGAAAAATGCCTTTATTTCCTACATTCCTGCAGCTCAGTGACATAATAGTTTGATTAGATCTATTAGATATCGGATGAAGGAATCTGATCCAGTTGTTTTTATATTCATTAAGATCATAGCTCTGATGACTGCAACGCTGCTAAAGTCAACCCACAGAGCACACACAGCAGCCGGTGATGATTTCTATCTGTGTCCGCATCTTTAGGAGTAATTATGTCGAGCCTGATGCTTTTACTCACATGGAAAGGTATACTTTTCATTCATTCAACTGTATTATTGAACCGGTATCGGATTTGACCGTTAGGCTTAGTCCATGCATCAATATTGGTTTGGATCGGGTGGGGGATTGGTGCATCTCCACTCATATGTATTTAATATAAAGGGTTTTCTTTTTTCGCTTATCATGCAGCTCTGCAGAAAGCAAAAGGAGAAACGGGAATGGCTGAAGTGCTTAAATGAACGTTTAGGGGGATTCAGACAGACATCACAAAATAGGGAAAGAAAAATGAAGAAAAGTAAAGATCACTGCAAGTGAAAATCTGGATCACGGTTTTAGATTTTTATTGGTTTTCTATTTTAATTTTATTTGCTGTTTGCTAATTTTCTTGCATTCTTTTCTTTGCAAAGCTGACCAAGATGGAGGTCTATGTCCGACATTAACGACTTTTAGACTTGGATCTGAATTCATAGATCTCAGTTTCCTTTTTTTTCCACTTCTCAGGGTATTTGACGTCTTGCGTTCCCTTTTGAAGTATCTGTGATTGATCATTTGTGGATGAGTTCAGGTTGTAAAGATAAGTGACTGACAGAAAACCAGCAGGAGAAGCCATGGAGGGCTCCCTCGGCTCGCCGGCCTGACATCAGGATTTAGTGTCTGGAAGGAAAAGGATGCGACGTGGACACGCGGCCAGGGAAGCAGCCTTCAACAGCCTCCCTGTCTTTCTGAGCTAAATTTAGAGCGAGCTGAGGGGGTCTTCTAGGGGCCCCTTTTCATTATTCATCAGCTGAAAGAGGAGCCAGTTTAATGTCTCTGTTCAGCTGCGAGCCTCTGCTCTTTGTGCAGGTGTCTGTCCCTCCCTCTGCGTTGGGAGGCTACTGGTTTAGAGCGTCTCTGAGCAAATCACCATGGATGAAGCTCCATCCAGTGTCCTTCTCCCTGCTGAAGATGAATCGTCCTCTAAGGATAAAATCAGATCAGATGCTGTTTTTGGATCATATATTGAGCTGTTTGCCAGATAACTCGAAACGAAACTTTAAAAACCGTTCCGTCGTTCTCTTGTAGGACCGTTTCTCTTGGCTGCAGCTGAAACCTCAACTCTGCATCCTCTTTAATGCACCAGTAGTAGATGTGTTAGTTGGGAGGCTAGAGAGTTTTCTCTGCAGGTCGGAAAACACGGCAAAAAGGATCCGGCCTCGAATGGCTTCAGCTTTGCTTTGAATGGTGGTCCTCCTGGATTGAATGAAAATCATCAATGAATCCGTCAGGACTTCATTGTTGACTCGCCTCTAAAATCTACGAAAAGTAATATTTCATATTAAAGAAATGGTTTATAGGAATGATCACCGCTTTTAAAATGAACATCTCCTGCCTTGTATTTATTCCTATTTAGTTTCCCTTTATTTCACCAGGATTAACCTCAGTGAGTTAAAACCAGGGATTCCTGGCACCATTATAAAACCCCAGTAAGTTGGGGGGAAAAAATTGTCTGATTAGTAACACTGAAAAAGCTCTTGACAGGACATTCTGCACATAAACAGTTCTTAACCTTATGATTAATCTAAACCAGAGTTAGTTGCTAATCTTATCTAAGATATTGGTGTTGCTCATCCTTAGCTGAATCATCAAAACATCTAAAGACACTTTCCTGAAATGCATCTGTAATAAGTTTATTAAAGGGCGGGATGGATAATTCTACATGGGTATAATAACATCTGATAATCTGAAAAGTGTGGCATGTCTTCTTTTAGGTGAAAACCTGTAGATTCCCATTAGATGTCAACTAATAGAGTCCATGTGATCGCGCCCTAGTTCAGAGGAAAGCCGTTGTTGTTTCCTTATATCTGTTCAAAGAAGAGCAAAAGAAAAGTGGATCCAACAGCACACTTAATAGCGGAACATAGCGGTGGCTGCATCATGCTGTTGGGAGACATCTTCATCAGGGACGGAATAACCGGAAGGATTTTACTATATGGTCACGGGAGCAAATCCAAATGCAACATGTCAGAATGGCCTAGTCAAAGGCCAGAGCCGAATCTTACTGAAAAACAGTGATACTGCAGTTATTCTGAAAAGATGAATTGGAAAATGTCTGAACCCAGAAATTGAAAAACTTGAAGAGAATTCCCAAACATGCAGCTGGTTATTAATTTTATTTTATTAAGTTTTCCCATCGTATACGAGGACCCACCAGTCAGTTGCGTTCTTCTAAAAATGACGAGCTTGAGATAAACCATCACGTCTGGAGTCGTCTTGTGAACCCTGGCACCGCACCACTGGAGTCATCAGCCTCCGCCTTTGCTGTAGTGTCAAGGGTTGCCCTGGAAACGTCCTAGCGATACGTCGGAATTGCTTGAGGAATTTAGGGGGCCGGTTTCCTCCTATTGTGTCCCATCAGATGGGTCCCCTTCCCCCATTATTCACCCCCATTTTCCCTCAGAAGTTAAAGGAGGACTCTGCAGAACAACACAACACCCCCCCACCCCTCTCTTCATGAAGCTCAGACAGAGACACGTGGTTCAGTTAAAACCGTTTGAATCCGAACTAAAATTACTCAGCAGCTTCTGTTGTCTTACATGAAAGTTCTGTTAAATTAATAAAATAAATAAAAAACATATGAAAGGAATTAATTTGTCACCGTTTTGCACAAAATAACTTAACCAACCTAAATAAGCTGTTGGTCTTATAATTTACCAGATTAGAACAGCTGGGGAATAAGCAATCTTTAAGTGGTTCTGGTTCTGAATCGGTTCTGTTCTTCTCCCTCAGGCAGACCAAGCCCCTGTCATTCGCCGACTGCATCGGAGATGAGCTGCCCGTGGGCTGGGAGGAGGCGTACGACCCCGTCGTTGGATCGTACTATGTCGACCACAACACCAGTGAGTCTGCGCTCATCTGTCTGTTTCACCTAAACGATGCGTCTAACAGATGTTAACCATCAGACTGATTTCGCCCGCAGAGAGGACCCAGCTGGAGGACCCGCGGGCCCAGTGGCAGCGGGAGCAGGAGTCCATGCTGCGGGACTACCTGGCTGTGGCCGGGGACGCGCTCAGCGCGCAGAAGGAGATCTACCAGGTGAAGGAGCAGAGGCTGCGGCTGGCGCAGCAGGAGTACCAGCAGCTCAACGATACCTGGAGGGACAAGTCCAAGTCGCAGACGAGCTGTGAGTCTGAAGCGAGCTCAGTGTCACCTGTGAGGGAGGAAGTAGAGGCAGATACGATCAAAGAGAGGTTTAAAGCCACAGAAAAACAATCATTTATTCATTACTGTTTGAAAATAGTTCTGTTGGTGACATTAAAGGAGAATTCCGGTTTTTAACACTTTTAGCCCATTTTCTGTAGTGTCCAGGATGAAATCGAATGATCGACACCAAAATTTTGACAATTGCTCCTGTCTCTGCTTTTTGGCTCATTTAGAATCCACCCCTGGCTGCTTCAGAACGGCTTCCATAGTGCATGTCCGATAATGTCCTTAAAACAACCTTAAACGTTCTTTTTTTAAAATATGCTACTCACCGGGTCGTCAGCGCTGTTCAATGACGTTCCAAAAAAAGTTTCGTAAAGAAAAAACGTTCCTGTAGTGTTTTATTTAGCATTTTGTAAATCCCATTGAGTTCTGTAGGAATAGTCAATATTCCGCTGCCACCGGAAACGGAAATGGGGCCTGTTTACACAGTTGTAGTCTTTTTGCTTCACCCTGTGTACTCCGACGTCGAGAATCAAGAATCCACCTTTCGTATTCCATTTTCAGAGTTTTTTAAAGTGTTTAACAGAGACGTTAGCACCTCGACGTCGGAGTACACAGAGTGAAGCGAAAAGACTACAACTGTGTAAACAGGCCCCATTTCCGTTTCCGGTGGCAGCGGAATATTGACTATTCCAACAGAACTCAATGGGATTTACAAAATGCTAAATAAAACACTACAGGAACGTTTTTTCTTTACGAAACTTTTTTTGGAACGTCATTGAACAGCGCTGACGACCCGGTGAGTAGCATATTTAAAAAAAAGAACGTTTAAGGTTGTTTTAAGGACATTATCGGACATGCACTATGGAAGCCATTCTGAAGCAGCCAGGGGTGGATTCTAAATGAGCCAAAAAGCAGAGACAGGAGCAATTGTCAAAATTTTGGTGTCGATCATTCAATTTCATCCTGGACACTACAGAAAATGGGCTAAAAGTGTTAAAAACCGGAATTCTCCTTTAACCTGCTGCAGATCAGTCCACCCTGACAGTCATCTTGTTTTATTTCTTTTTGCATATTTCTTTATTTATTTATTTGCTGACTTTTCTTTAAAGGAGTCTTTTGAATTTATTTTATTTCCGGTAAGTATTATTATTTGCCCATTTATTCCTAAAATGTTTTTAGACACTCATTTAGATGTTATTTCTTTAATTTAATTTTAATCATATATTTTAGTTAAATTAGATAGTTTTTATTTATTTTCTCATCCATCCTTTATGTTTATTTATTTATTTATTTTTTTAAGTTTTGTTAAATATAATTTTTTTTTAATGTTCTTTCTTTCCTTTTTATAATTGTATTAAGCCTTTTTTTTTTTTTTTAGATTGTCTACATATGCTTACATGGCATTTTATTATTTTACCTTTGGGTAAACCACTTTTTCATCTCTTTCTTCTTTTCCGTCTGTTGCTTGTTTTAATGCAACTTATTACATAAATCATAAATAGGATCTAATTTGTTCCTTTTTCCTTGCAGTAAATTCCAGGTCATCCTCTACCAGCAAATATGACCCAGAAATCCTCAAAGCAGATATCGCCACAGCCAAAAGTCGAGTAAGAGATGTTCGTTGTGTTTTTGAAGAAGCTGATGGCTGCAAAGATTAATAGTTTAGCAACAATTTCACACCGGTTTATGTGTGATGGATGAAAGCATTCGATTATAAATAAATAATTTATAGAATAAATGTTTATAAAGAAGTTATAAAGTGTTCACAGATTTATTTATTACATATCTCTAAACTATCATTATCCATCCATATCAGGGATCGGCAACCCAAACTGCTCAAAGAGTCATATTAAACCAAAAAAAACAAATCTGTCTTGAGCTGCAAAAATGTAAAAGTTTTATATAAGCCTTGTATGGCAACACGGGCTCTGAGTGCATTAGATCACAATAAAAAAAGGACAACGTGTGCTTAAAAATATATTAAGCATTCATGATTAATGTTAATCCTGTAGCAAATGTCACATAGCAGCATGAGGTGAGATAGAAACAGTGGACGCTCTCACGATGTGGAATTCACCGCGCGGTTTAAGTTTCGTTGCATTGATGAAATTATAGAAACACAATAAAGTCATATTTCTATGGTGGACGTGTTTCTATTGGGAGAAGTTGATTGAGTCAAGAGGAACCAAGCAGGAACTGGTATCCATCAGAGCAGAGCTCTCTAACCCCAAAATCCCACCTCCTTCGTCACCAGCGTTCCTCTGTGATATTTATATTTGAGAATTTGGGGGGAAAAAATTTAACAAAATTCACATACCTGCATCAAAGCGCTGCCTGTTTGATCTGTGGACAGTTTTTTCATGCTTGAAACAAAACTAGCAGGAGTGGAGTTTGGAGATGCAATCCATTTCTTAAATCTATCTTTGCGCTCCTCTAATTTATCCAGAAGATTTGCAATCACAATCTTTCTCTCACTCACAGCTTTGTTAGCGGCTGCATATTTAGCCTTCCCTGGAAATGCCTTTCCAAGTTACTATTTTTATTATTTAGCGAATTCTTGTGCCCAGGGGCGGATCTAGAAAAATATTTATGGGGTGGCAAGAGGGGGGCAGGAATTTTTTAGGGGTGGCAACATATGGCATTTGTTTACACTGAATTTAATCACAGTTATCACAGTTTGGTGAGAATAGTATGTACAGTACTAGTGTTTCATGTGAAACAGTTCATATTAATAATTAATCGTACAATGTGATCTCACTTAATAGGAGATAGAAGAATGATAACACTACTTCTAGAGGGGCATTATCACAGGAAAGGTATTAAGGTAAGACACAGGTGCTGAGTCGCAGATGTGTGAGACTGACTGTCAGAGAGGCAGCTTTGCAGCATTTGCACAAGAAGAAACGATAGAAAGAAAAAGTTACCCATCAGAGATCTATGGACTGAGCTGGACTAAAGTGAGCAGAACTACACAGTAGAAATAAATGGGTCAAGGCACCCAAACAAGGTACCAGACATCCATGTATTGTTTACTCTGAACACACATTTACCCCATTTGTTCCTCAGTAACTTGACATACAGCAGTTAAGGCAACATGAAAGGGACATCATGCTGTCGATAGAGCTGTATATGGAGGACCAACTCTGCCATATTTACAAATAAATACATAAATAAATAAATGTTCAATAAATAAATAAGCATACAATTAATTGCCACCAAAAATACAATCAACAAATAAATGTAATTAGAAATTATATTATAATGGCAGGCAGAAATGTTAAAAGGGCAGGCAGAAAGAAATAACGGCGAAGAAATAACTAGGGTAAAAAAATACAAAGGAAGAATAAAACAGACAAAAATATTATAACATGCACATAAATAAATACTTAAAAATATAAGTAATGAAAAAATTAAGTTGAAGATAATAAATGACAAAAAAATAAATAAGGTAAATATTAAAAAGGCAAAGAAATAAAGAAGCCAATTAAAAGAGTTATATACCTTTATGACTAGCTGTATAATTTAATTTCTACTTACATTTATTTGTTGTTTGTATTTTTGGTGGCAATCAATTGTATGCTTATTTATTTATTAAGCATTTATTTATTTCTGTATTTATTTTTAAATATGGCAGAGTTGGTCCTCCATACTGCTGTATCAACAAATTAACAAAGAGGCGGGTTCTGTATGTTACATCAAAATCTCCACAAATCTGAAAAGAAGCAACATAAAAATACATTTTGCTTGTGAGTAGGTTCATACGGGTCATTTCTGGATAGTTTCATATTATATATACAAAAAAGAAACAACAACACTGCTTCATATTAAGCAGGATTTACACCAGTATCACATTTTTAACTTTTAACACTTTTGGTTTTATTAAAGGAAATATCAGATTTTCTCAGGGGCCAAAACAAAATGTAGCAGCTCTGTAAAGGCTCACCAGAGAGCAAAACATAAAGTTATCATGAGTATAACAGCTGAATGCGGCGATTTCCATGTTGCTCTGCAAAACCCTTCACAACTTTATTTAGATCCAATGCCTTTGTGCGTTTTGATTTGAGTACCAACCAAACTTGATGGTCTCTTTTCTGTCATAGTTGACCGAAAATATGTCTTTATGAGGCTGAGACATCAGGCCTAACTAACATCATAGATAGAGAAATAACGATCTGCAACCTGATTTTTATCATCTCAAAATCAGCATTGCAGCTATGCTAGCAACATTGTGCTTTCATTATGATTTCATTTCTCGATAGATAGTTAATCAATTTTTACCTGTTTCATCCCGTTTCTCCTCTCCCCATCACCCCTGGCTCCCTCGCTTTGCCCCATTCGGTTTTCAAAACAATCAGTCTCAGTCGCTCTCGCGTCATCTCGTGCTGCATTCACTGCAGTCCGACATTAGAAATTAGCGGTCGTAATTCTCAAATGATCCATAATTTATAAGCCTCGCCACCCCTACCGCCAACTGGGGTGGCAGCTGGGGTGGCAAGGCTGTCATTTAGGGTGGCAGTTGCCACCCTATGCCACCCCAGTAGATCCGCCTATGCTTGTGCCAAAGAAAACACGCAGGCAATCCTTCCGCATTGATAATGAAAGCAAACGATTCGCTCCATTCTTCTTTGAATCCCCTGTTCTCATCAGCTATCTTCCTTTATTCCCCTTTGGCATCCATTGCCCGAGACACACCTGCCGCTTTCTTTGCCTGGCACCGCGCCGCGCTGAGCGGGTGTTGCAGGCTTTGACCACTGATCTCTATGGCTATGACGCACATTTCCGTTGAAATAAATGTTCACATACATTGTTTAAATGTATTTATTACACAAATGTTTACAGCATTGGAAAACATAATGAATGTTAGTTTGATCTCTTGCACACCATATTAAAATAAACAAACCAATGTCTTAAATAAGACTTTCATAGGTCTTAATTTTTAAAACATCATAAAAAGGATAATTTTTATTACAATTTATATATTTGTAATCTAAAAAAAACATTAAAATTGAAAATTTTTCTTTTATTTAAAAAAAATAACATCTCGCCATTATTGGTTCCATCACGATAGCGGAAGCAATAATAGCGTTGTTGCGGCCGGGACATTTGGGAGATGCACCATTTACTTTTTGTCTGGAAAATATGAGGAAGTGTAAATGTAACGAAAATTGGCTCCAGCCAAGAGTTTTCTCCATGGCTAAAACCAGGGAACATACATGAGGCTCAGTGTATTTTTGTGAAAGTAGCGATTCAAGCGCGGAACAATGGGAATTAAGGCAGTGGAGTCGCAAATGCGAAGCGCGAAACACAAAGCGTCAAAATGGAGTTACAGAGAAACAGCCAGTATTTCTCAATTTTGTTCCACCCTTGTCTCGGCAACGCCATCAAACATACTAAGAAAACGATGCAAAAAAAATAGCTGCAAAAAAGACTTAGCACTGGTTATGTTGTGGCTTTAAAACTGATTTGTTTTGTTCCCTTCTAAAACAAAGTTTGTGAATTAAGTTAAATAATTGTTAAATATATATCTGTCATTTGTGTGTTTTTAGCTTTCTTCCTGTATGGGAAGCTTTTCAAAATTTGAAACATTAGTGCAGTGGTTTATGTTAAAATAAACCTTTGGGTTAAGTTGTTGCAAGCAGGTTTTTCTTGTGAATTTGGTCCTAAATTTTTATTTCAAGTGGCATTAAAAAGTCTTGAATTTAACTTGTCTTATGCTGTAGGAACCCTGCCTTCAAATCCGTCTGACCAAGTTTTTTCTCTTTTCATTGATATAACAGCCCAATGCTATTTAATATTAGAGTAAAATAACCTCGGTTTGAAGGTGTGAGTCAGATGCAGGGCAATTAGTTTTCTATCTCTAACCTGTTTCTTCTGTCTCAGGTGAACAAGCTGAAGCGGGACCTGGCCTGCATGAAGCAGGAGCTGCAGTACAAAGAGCAAGGCTACGCCACGCTCAGAGAGTGAGTGTCAGACATTCCTACAGTCGCCAGAGGTTTTTAGTAGCAAAGCTTAAAGGAGAAGTTCGGTTTTTTACACTTTAAGCCCATTTTCTGTAGTGTCCAGGATGAAATCGAATGATCGACACCAAAAGTTTGACAATTGGTCCTGTCTCTGCTTTTTGGCTCATTTAGAATCCCCCCCTGGCTGCTTTAGAATGGCTAGCATAGAGCATGTCCGATAATGTCCTTAAAACAACCTTAAACGTTCTTTTTTAAAAATATGCTACTCACCGTGTCGTCAGCGCTGTTCAATGACGTTCCAAAAAAAGTTTCGTGAAGAAAAAACGTTCCTGTAGTGTTTTATTTAGCATTTTGTAAATCCCATTGAGTTCTGTAGGAATAGTCAATATTCCGCTGCCACCGGAAACGGAAATGGGGCCTGTTTACACAGTTGTAGTCTTTTCGCTTCACTCTGTGTACTCCGACGTCGAGAATCAAGAATCCACCTTTCGTATTCCATTTTCAGAGTTTTTTAAAGTGTTTAACAGAGACGTTAGCACCTCGACGTCGGAGTACACAGAGTGAAGCGAAAAGACTACAACTGTGTAAACAGGCCCCATTTCCGTTTCCGGTGGCAGGGGAATATTGACTATTCCTACAGAACTCAATGGGATTTACAAAATGCTAAATAAAACACTACAGGAACGTTTTTTCTTTACGAAAATTTTTTGGAACGTCATTGAACAGCGCTGACGACCCGGTGAGTAGCATATTTTAAAAAAAGAACGTTTAAGGTTGTTTTAAGGACATTATCGGACATGCTCTATGCTAGCCATTCTAAAGCAGCCAGGGGGTGATTCTAAATGAGCCAAAAAGCAGAGACAGGACCAATTGTCAAACTTTTGGTGTCGATCATTCGATTTCATCCTGGACACTACAGAAAATGGGCTTAAAGTGTAAAAAACCGAACTTCTCCTTTAATTTGTTCATTTTAGTCTCATTCTATCTGGTGCATTTTTACACTTTTTAATCAAGTAAAACTAGGAATCCAAACGTTTCTCTCTGATCCTCATGATTCTGGCTGCGCTAAAGAGATAAAATGGACAAACTTTCACTTGTTGGAGTTTGTCCACCCCCCTTACAATAGGTGTGAAAACTTTAACAGGCCGATTGAGGCAAAGTGCTGCTTATCTCCTCAGTTATTGCTTCAGCTTTATCGCGCATTCCATCCAACCATTAAACAGAATAACACTGTCGTAAACAGCTGAACAGGAATGCGGTTTAGAGAGGAAACGCATCGGGGTTTATAATCTCTCCGACTGCAGCTCTGAATGTGAGGTCGCTGAGAAGCGGCAGAGCCTTTTTCCTTCTTCGGGTGCCGTCGGACGCTGAATTGAGAAGGAATGCTGTGCTTTCTGCCTTGCCTCATGCAGCACAGGGTGGTTGTCACGGAGGATTAAGGAGAAGCGGTCGAACGGCATTCCTCTCCCGCTGCAGCCGTCGGACGGCATCTTTTGACCAATAGGCGTATGAAGAAATGGGTTTGGGTTGGAATGCAGCCTCATCACCTGATAGGATTTCACAAAACAGAGCAGGGCCAGAGTTTTACAGTTTCAGGGGGAAAAAAACAATATCTGGATTATTTACATTTCCCTTACTTCTGATTCATTAAGAAAGAACATGCCTCCCTTTCATTTTGAAACAGTAGATATGTGTCAGCATGAAGTTTTCCTTTAGTTATTTATGAATCAACACCCAGATACACAAAAAAGCCATGAAAATAAAATGTATCTGGCTCAGCTTTCAGACCTCATTTAAGGACAAATTTGAGGGGATTAGCTTTTCCTTGTTACAGAGCAGTACCTCCCTCCATCACTTCCTCATTCTTCCTTTTTTCCCCCCTCTCCCTTGCTGTGTCTCTCATTCATGAAGCCTAACCCCCCCCACCCCCCCCCCCCCCCCCAGAAGAATGTTGAAGGGCCAGTTATTCAGATGAACGCTTGACTTGTTCATGTAGAGCTTTACGTAGCCGCTGCTGCTCTTGTTGTTTTTTCTGATGGTTTTTCAACTTTTTCTCCTCAGGCTCCTCAACTATAGTTCTAAATGAACATGGAATCAAAAAAGGAAATGGAAAACAATAGACGAACTGTGAAATCAGATACTAATCAAATTTTATTTGCATAAACTGCAGAGTTAGTAGGAGACAAGATGTGTAATGTTGAGGAAGCTTATGTCATTGTTGGTGATTTCGATTGAGCATCACTCCACCGTTAAGTATTTCAACCTTTCTGGACGCTCCAGGTACCCATATGTGCAAAAGCAACAGGCTGCATAGGGACAAGTTTGATAGTTGAAATAAAGATTGAAAATATTCAGGTACAAAGACTGAATCAATGTTTGGAGGATTGAAGGTGTTGCTTTCAAAACGAACAACCTTCTAGCTGCAAAGCATAGTGGTGGCGGAATCATGCTAATGTCCTCTCTCCTTGCCATTGGTACTAGTGCATTTTATAAAATGGGTAAAATAAAGAGCCCTATTAAAATTTTTTTTATTTTTTTTAAACTGAAATGTTCTCCAGTAATTTTAATAAAAAGAGACACACACTAGAGCTATTTCAATGCCCACACATAGGGGGAGCTCCATTTACTACTTGTAAAGTGATGTTTAGCCAAATATTTATGCATGTTTTAGTATATTCTGACCCTGTTTGGATTAGAGAATATGCAGTTAATCCCCTCATTTACATGTAGTTCACTTCTCTTTTGTTCTTTTATTTGACATTTTTAGTTCTATCACACCAACCTGCTAAAAAGAACATTTAATTTATAATTGAAATCCCGCAATTTCTCCTCAGATCAACATTTCTGATAGGCTGCTCCTTTACTGCATGTCAGACGTCAAAATTGAAACCTTTGACAGATTTTTTTCTTGCACATATATATTTTTTTTGCTTCATTATACCATCAGGACTCCACTACAGAGCCTTGTGGGACTCCACACGAAATAATTTCAATGTCTTTCAGCGACTACACAGATGTTTTTTCACCTACAAAACTGAAGTTTGGTTTAATGTTCTGCTTTGCAATCTTCCAGGATCAACCAGAAAGTGTCCAACAGCCCATACGGCTACAAGCCGCAGGACGCACAGGCTATCCTTAACGAGGTCCGCTCCATTCGAGACGCCATCAGCTCCGGGGAGAAGGAGAAGCAAGAGCTCATGCAGGTGAAAAAGCAAATACAGGAACTGGAGACATCGTTGTTGTTTGCATTAGAGCCGGTTTAACACTCCGATTACAGTTAGCTTCACTTTTTTTCTTTTGGAGCCGGATAAGGAATGTTCTTAATGTCCTATTAAAGTCCTCGTCTAGTATTAGTTAAATACTAGTTAAATATTTTGCTCTCAAAAACTGCGTTTCTCTTAGGAGCTAAAACGAAGGAACCTGCTTATTTTCCTACAGAAAGCTAGAATAGAGTTTGTGGATTGTGGAGGCTTATAATCTGTAGAAAGAAAAACCCCAAAACAAGCCAATGCTTTCTCAGTTTAGAACTAAAACAAGTTCTGCAAAGTACTCAGAAGAAAAAAAATAGGTTTATAATCAAAATGTTTTGTTAAATTGTCAAAGTGACACATCTCTGCAGATCCTCTAAATATTCAGAGTCTTGTCTTCTCTACAGCGCCTCCTAGAGGTATTTTGGAAATAGAGTTTCCACTCAAGATCTCTGGCAGAGGTCAAGATTTTTATTCTAAATGTCCTGGAAGTAAACTGATTTCATCAGGTGACCACACAAGATTTACTGGGGTTTTGTAAGTGAAACATGCCCAGAGCATTATGCATCCTCCACCATTTTTAGACACCACATTTTAGGAAAGATCCAGAATGTTTGTAGATTTCAACTCTGTAAATATTTTTTTTTCTCACATTATGACCCAAGATAAAGATCTTAGTGAGATTTTAATTTTTTTTTGTGTGTTTTTCAGTCAATTTTTTGGAAGTTGACTTTGACTCTACTTTAATCTTAATGAAGAGATCATGAATATTCATATTTGATAAGGTAAAAAAATATATATTTTAGCTATGTGCAGTGTTTATTTAGAAAAAAAAATAGGCTAGCAACAACAGGCCTCTGTGTTCTTATATTTACACCTTTCTCATTGAATATATTCAAAAAAATGAAGGGTCTTTTTTGCTTTTTAGGCATTTTCTATTCCCACCTAAAAATTCCTAGCTAATTGCCCACATCCTTACAGTCCTCTGCCATACCTAATAGTTGACATGACCCCTTTAACGCATTTCATCCACTTACTCGTCCTGAAGTGATGACTGGCACCAAGTCTCCATGACAACCAGCACTTATTTTTTTACTTCATCAGTTTAATGCAGACGTGACTTTAAACCAGATTTGTTGTGAAAGTCCTGAATTCTTATATGACGCAGAGGCGTATTGGAGAGGCCAGCATGTCCAGATGAGAGCTGTTTGAAAACATGAACAATAAAATACAGCGAATCAGCATCACACTGCAGCTGTGGAGCCTTACAGAGACCAGAAAACATGAGGAATGTTTTTCATTAACACCTGGAAGGCCGGGGCAATAAATCTGTTTGCATTGTTTTAAAACAGACGGGTTTATAACCAGAAAGTAGCGTAAAAATAAGATGGAGCAGCTGCGATCAGAGGAGATTGTGATGAAGCGCTGGAGGAGATGCCCCGTCTGTGAGTTTTATGAATGGCACTAAAGCAGATTTAGGAACTCGTAAGCTGATGCTGCAGGAGGCAGTTGGTGTTTTAATGTCCTGCCTCTGACCTTTGGTCGACCGTCTGTCAAATTCATAAAGGAGAAGGTGAGAAAAGCTGATATTTGGAATCATCTCAGAGATGATTTTTTGAGGTCATAAACTTACTGCTCGGATTTTTGTGACTTAAAATTTAAATCATTTTGAAATAATTCAGGGCTTTCTGATGTATGGAGCTTCTATTTTCAACAGCAAACTAAAAGAGAGATCTCAGCTAAGTTTAGATTGATCAGTCAGTAGGCGATGCTCTTACATCTGGGTGGATTTTTAAGGTTTCCTCATCAGACATGAGAACAGATAGATCGAGATGACTTAATATTCACGCTGCTGTCTGCAGTGATGGCTAAAAGCAGACAGCTTTAGTTTCTCTCACATGTCATCCAAAGTTAAAGTAAGGAGGATCATATCAGCTTTGGGTTGTCAACACCAGAAAGAACACTGGTGGAACTGGACTGAACAGGAATTGCTGCCATCTGATCATCTGCGCTATTCTGACAAAACAGTTTCTGTCAGAGTTGAGTTTGAAAAGTTTCCATAAATAAATCAACTTATGGTGCAAACTAAGTTGTAAATCAACAAACTGTCTGAATTGAATTGAAAGGTTCTCAATTTAAGTACTTTACCCATTAAAAAAATGTATTAAAAACGTAGAAGTGTAGTTGTAATTTGGAGAACTGACTCATACAGTCAGCTGAAAGGCAGCTATGTATAATTTAATAAAAATATGGAAACATTTTTAAAAAGCAAATGATTTGTTTATTTTTCAATAGAGCTGACATATCAGACATTTGATCAGATCCCAGGCTTCCTACTTCTAGCTTGTATTGATCACTTATGCTCTGCTCAAAAAAATGAAAGGAACACTTTGAAAACACATCAGATCTCAATGGGGAAAAAATCATGCTGTTTATTTATACTGATATGGACTGGGTGATGTGTTATGAACAAAAAGATGCCACATCATTTGATGGAAATGAAAAATATCAACCTACAGACGACTTAATTCAGACACCCCAAGACACCCCAAAAATTACAGTGAAGAAATGATGCGGCAGGCTAGTCCATTTAGCTGAAATTTCAGACAGCAACTCAAAATGGTATTCAGTAATTAATATGGTTCCCACGTGCGTGTATGCATGCATGACAATGTCGGGGCATGCTCCTAATGAGATGACGGATGGCATCCTGGGGTATCTCCTCCCAGATCTGGACCAGGGCATCACTGAGCTCCTGGACAGTCTGAGGTGCAACCTGGGGGAGTCGGATGGATCGAACCATAATGTCCCAGAGGTGTTCTATTGGATTTAGGTCAGGCGAGCGTGGGGGTCAATCAATGGTATCAATTCCTTCATCCTCAAAGAACTGCCTGCATACTCTCACCACATGAAGCCGGGCATCGTCTTGCACCAGGAGGAACCCAGGACCCACTGCACCAGCATAGAGTCTGACAATGGGTGCAAGGATTTCATCTCGATACCTAATGGCAGTCTGGGTGCCATTGTCTAGCCAGTATGCGTCCCTCCATTAATATGCCTCCCCAGACCATCACTGACCATCCACCACCAGACCGGTCATGCGGAACGATGTTACAGGCAGCATAACGTTCTCCAGAGCTCCTCCAGACCCTTTCACGTCTGTCTCGTGCTCAGGGTGAACCTGCTCTCATCTGTGAAAAGCACAGGGTCCCAGTGGTGGACTTGCCAATTCCGGTGTTGTTTGCTGGGCAGTGAGCACAGGGCCCACTAGAGGACGTCGGGCCCTCAGGCCACCCTCGTGAAGTCTGTTTCTGATTGTTTGGTCAGAGACATTCACACCATTGGCCTGCTAGAGGTCATTTTGTAGGGCTCTGGCAGTGCTCCTCCTGCTCCTCCTTGCACAAAGGAGCAGATACCGGTCCTGCTGATGCATTGTAGACCTTCTACAGCCCTGTCCAGCTCTCCTGGAGTAACTGCCTGTCTCCTGGAATCTCCTTCATGCTCTTGAGATTGTGCTGGGAGACACAGCAAACCTTCTGGCAATGGCACGTATTGATGTGCCATCCTGGAGGATGCACTGCCTGTGCAACCTCTGTAGGGTCCAGGTAGCGCCTCATGCTAACAGTAGTGACAGTGCAGAAAAAATGTCAGTAGTCTCCACCTGTAAATCCATTCCTCTTTTGATGGTCTTCTCGTTGTTGCCCCTCTAGTGCACCTGTTGTTAATTTCATTAACACCAAAGCAGCTGAAACTGATTAACAACCCCCTCTGCTACTTACCTGACCAAATCAATATCCCAGAAGTTTAATTAAATTGATGCTATACTCTGATTACAAAGTGTTCCTCAAATTTTTTTTGAGTAGTGTATTAAAAGTGGCGGCGATGTTCCTCCCTGTGGGGGAACAGAACCTGGAAAGCTGGGATTTAAAAGACAAGATGGTTCTGAATGCAGCTGAACGACGCTCTGCTGAACTCAGATTTGTTATCTTCCTCCTCTTCATCCACTCTCCTCTCCAGTCTAAGAAAGCACTGCAGTGTTGACATGTCATTTTCTGCACGGATGCTGATCGGATTAAAGTTGCATGATTGGTTTTGGAGTCTTGATGCAGGTTTACATGAAGCTGAATTGAACATTAAAAAGGAAACAGAAATATCAGCTCCATCTATGTGATGTGAGGATAATGATGATAAGCAGCTGCTCCGCTTTAGGAGATCCGACATCTTCTCCTTCCTTACATCACTTCAGACTGAAGCATCAGAACGAGGCGAGGAGAGCCTGTTCAATAATGCAGGATCTGCTGTATGCAGCTGTCAGCTCAGCCTGCAGGTTTTTCTCAGCGTCTTTTAGGCAGTGATTGTGAAACATTTCATTTTAGTGGATTTAATATCAGAAGCTGCTGCAGAAAGGCCTGTGGTTCAAAATGATAGAGCCTGAAACTCTTTAGCTCTGATTTGTTTGGTCTTAACATAGATTCTTATTCATGTTATTGTTTTATTTTGATGAAAAATGCATCTCAGAGCTAATAGGATAATCATACAACTGTTGTGATTTTCTTTTTATCATTATTTTTTATTTGGAAATGAATCTAATATGTGAAAGGTCAACAGAAAGCACAAAATGCTCTGTTGTTTTATGTGGTAGATAAACAAATGAAGCATTCAGGATAAATTATTTTGATAAAAGACAAAAACAGAACCTGTTACAAGGAAAAAGGTTTGTAGGTTGGTGGAATTTGTCTGATAAAAACCTCACTCTAAAAACAGAATTAGTTTCATTTCTTCTTGTAAAGTTGAACATTAACCAACATATTGTTTTCAGTAAGTTTGGTGAATACATACCTATAAAGTGAGCTACTTGGTTCTGAGATGCAAACGAAATGCAAGCAGATTAACAGGGATACATAAGTGGGAGTTTCCACACTGCAGATGCTCTGATGTCCCATCCTGACTACTCTCCATTTTCCTCAGAAATTGGCCATTTTAAAAGATGGATTCCAGCTGGACTCGAGCTCCCAGCAGGAACTGTGGGGCAGCAGTCCTTCGCTCGCCAACTCGGAAACGTCCCTCCCTCGCCTCTACTCTGACGTCGGATCACAGACGGACCTCCCAGCTGAGGTCAGTCCCAGGACGGTTGTTTTTTTTTTTGGTTTTTTTAACCTGTAGAGCAATGTGCTCCCAGATTCACAGCTCTTAAACTTTACACATTTTATCAGTCAAATTAGTTGACCTAAACCAAGATGGAAAATATCTAATTTAACATGAAAGAACTAAATAGGTCAGTTGGAGAAAGGAAATTATTGAAATGATCAGAAAAAACAGGATTAAAGCAGTAGAGAGATCAAATCCAGTCTAATCTGGCAGTGAAATATCATACTGGTTATTAATAATTAATTGATTTTCCTTTTTACTTTGTTAAAAGATCTGAACAGACATTCCTCTGTGATTTCAAAGTTTTAGATTTAAAGGTAAAAAAAAATTCAGGTGACAGATGTTAAATTATAAAAAGGACCCCAGATAAATAAAAGGAAGCCATTTTTTAGTCTAAATAATATCATTAAAATTGATAGAAAAACTTAAAACTAGTTAACTTTTAAATGAACATTTCAAAAGTTCAGGGTATCAGAAAATAAATATGGAGAGGGAAAAAGCTTCAGCACTTTATTTCTTATCATATTCAACAATATTTTTGTCAGAATAAAGATGAGGCAAAATAATTGCTTTTTTCTGGTTATTACCGTATTCTTTAAACTATGTTGTAAGGTTTACTATTAGAACATTACATTCTGCCATCAAAAATCGAATCACTCCAATCGAATTTTTATTTAGGCACTAGATCTTTTGATTTATGTGATATAAAGTAATTTCAAACAAGACATTTCTTTGTCCATGAACTGACCATATCCATAAGGTAATGCTTCAGTCATGATAGGTGAGCAATAGGGACTCTGAAGGAGGTGTAGATATTAATTGCTCTGATCTAAATACACCGAAGAGGCCTACACGTCACCATAAACCATTAACAGACTTTGCAGAGATTCTTCAATTACATGCTATGCAGAAGAAAAAGACTGACGCTTTGAGAAAATATAAAATACCATTAAAAGTGTTGAAGGAACCCTGATGGATATGTGGTTGATAGTTTGCTCCAACTAATATTGGATCGCATCAAGCTGAAGGAAGAAAGTTCTATGAAGTAAACAACAGCAGAATATTTTGGTCTACACTCATAACATGTATGGTGTGGGGAAAAAAATGCTACTGCATCGCATCATCCTGAACACATCTCAGTTCAGCATGGAGGTGGCAGTATCATGCTGCGAGGATGTTTTTCCTCAGCAGTGATGGTTAAACACCTTCTGAAAGAGCATTGGCACTAAACACTCCGACAGAGCTGGAATGGAAGGTTTTAAGTCAAAGTTTAGACCCAGAAAGAAGCTGAAAATATTGGGCAAGCCTCAGAAACTCTGTAAAGCTCTACCTCCAAAACTCTACGTCCAAAACTCTACGTCCAAAACCCCAAACATGGTTTGGATCAGACGCAAAATTTATGCCACAGTTCAGTTTAAGCAGCTTACATGGAAATATGACTCTTTGTTTGTGGTCATGGTGTGCCGAACTTTAGAATAGTCTGAAGAAAAAGCGCCTCAGTCTGTATTTCCTGTAACCAGATGGATTAAAGGATGAACTCTGTTTTTTTGTTTTTGTTTTTTTTTAACCAGTTCACCACCAGCACCAACAAACTGGCAGAGAAAGTTCGTCTCAGTCTGAAGTACGAGGAGGCCAAGAGAAGGTATCTGGTTTTACTTTAAAAGCTGCTTTTTCTGGACAGATCATTTCTTTCCTAGGAATATGTTGTAGATTATCTACCGTTACTGGATTTCAGCATCTTTATATCATCAGCCCAGATCCAAAATGGTTCCATTGATTTGGATGCAGACTTAAAAAAACATTATTAAAGGAGTATCTTTGACAACAAATGATATTTCTGCAAAAAAAATAAAGCTATAATATTACATATATCCAAGGCTCTGGGACACTGAACACATCGTGACTTGTCAGGCATTGGAGTGGAAACCTATTGCTGCATATTTTTAGGTGAAACAGATGAGCAAATATTTTTTTATTGAGGTAAAAGTTGATGTTTAGTTCATGAGGAAACTGGGTGTGATGGAAAAGCTCCAATCTGGAGCAACATTAGAGGAGAAACCAGGTCAAACAAGAGGTAGTTGGGGAACCGATGCTGACCCATAACTATGGACACTGAGCTGTCAGCATTTATAGGAACAATGTGAGTAGGGAATTAAATGCAAAAAAACCTGACAGGTTTTATTAGGTCAGCCTTTGTATAACACTCATGGAGTTCCCAATAAAAAGCCAGAAACACAAAGTCTGCTTCGCTGCCACCATTTTATATTCATCATCTGGGGTTTTTTTTCTTTATAACTCTGTTCTCATCTTTATGAAGGATCGCCAACATCGAGGTGCAGATTGCCAATCTGGACAGCGAGGCTTGGCCTGGGCTGCTGGACCCAGAGCGCGACCGGCTCATCCTCATCAACGAGAAGGAGGAGCTGTTAAAGGAGCTGCAGTACGTCACCCCCCGACAGCGGCTGGAGCCCAACGACGCCGAGAAGCTGGAGACTGAGAAGAAGCGCCTGGAGAGAGACCTGCAGGCTGCCAGAGACAACCAGAGCAAAGCGCTGACTGAGAGGCAAGTCAGCCACACTCAGACTGTCTGCCTCAATCAGAAAATCCTGCAGGATTTTAAAAGGGACCTATTCAGTACTTCTCTGGGTCCTGGAGCTCTAAATCATTTATGCTACATTCACACCAAATTCAATTGGAGCAGCAGAGGCAGCCGGTTTACATGCAAGGTCTGTGGGTGACGTGCATCAAAAGATGAGCGGGTCTCGAACAGCAGGCGTAGCGCATTTCAAAGTATCTGAGCAGTTGAAGCAGCGCCTCATGAGCTTCTGAGCATCTGAGGCGCGTGAAGCGCTTCACAAGCACAAGCAGCAGATGCTGGAGTTGGAAAAATATAATTTTTACTGCCCGGCGTGCCACATGAACCAATCAGAGAAGCTGATCTTGGAGCTGCCAGGGAGACAGACACAGCACTGCTGATGCAGGTTGCTATGATCACTACCCTGATTAACAGTTTATTAATGCCTAAATCAACTTAAAATAATGAAACCTGCAGGCAAAAAATGTCTGTTTTTTTATTCTGGTGCCGGCATTGTTTACCGTGTATCTAAAAACGCTAACAGCCGCCATCAGCAGTAGGAGAAAATGCTGAAGAGGCTGGTCGGCATGAGGCAGCTGCTGAGGCACGTCTGACCTCAATGTGTACTATAATCCAAAGTGAAGCAGCAAACGCTTCCTTGGTGCTCAAATCGCGTTCAGTGTGAACGTAGCATTAGGAAATAAAAAGTTCCTCTAAATGCAATGGATCTGCTGGTAGGACATTTTGGAACCAGCTTTAAATCAGAGCTTCTGGCAGAAATGCAGCTCGTTTAGTTTGTGGTAATTAGTTCATGTGTTGTGATGACATTAATGTTCGTCTAGATTTCCTGGTTTTAGATCTTCCCTCTTGTACAGTCGGTGAGTTTTGAATAGAGCCTGACTGATAAATCAGTGGGCCGATTTTCAGGGTCGGGCTCATTAATCGACTTCAGCCAAAATGTTTTCATTTTTTAAATGCTCACCCGTAGAAATGAACTCTTAATCACCAAAATACACTAAATGTATATATATCATTTCACCAGGAGAAGGGAACAATTAGGTGTGGAGTGACTTTATGAAGGATGTAGCAGGTGTTGGATGCAGCCTCTGCAGTGTTAAAGTAGATAGGACTCTATTACCAGCAAGGCTAAAAACACCACAGATTTCAGGCAATATCTAAATTGGCTCCACAACATTTGATTAAATTTATATTCTTATGTTGACACTGCTTATGTTAAAGTAGGTTATTTTAATTGTTATATTTTGTAATAGTTATATTTTCATTTTCTTTGTCATGATGAGAATTTGGAGTTGGACTATAGTTGGACAGTGCTTATCCCCTATGTTTTTTCCCTTTAGTCTAATATATATGGAATCAATTATCTTATATTGGCCAATATATTGTTTTTTCAAAGCCTAAAAATCAGAGCTTCTGGCAGAAATGCAGCTCGTTTAGTTTGTGGTAATTAGTTCATGTGTTTTGATAACATTAATGTTCATCTAGATTTCCTGGTTTTAGATCTTCCCTCTTGTACAGTCGGTGAGTTTTGAATAGAGCCTGACTGATAAATCAGTGGGCCGATTTTCAGCGTCGGGCTCATTAATCGACCTCAGCCAAAATGTTTTCATTTTTTAAATGCTCACCCGTAGAAATGACCTCTTAATTACCAAAATACACTAAATGTATATACATCATTTCACCAGGAGAAGGGAACAATTAGGTGTGGAGCGACTTTATGAAGGATGTAGCAGGTGTTGGATGCAGCCTCTGCAGTGTTAAGTAGTCAGAACTCTTATTACCAGCAAGGCTAAAAACACCACAGATTTCAGGCAATATCTAAATTGGCTTCATAACATTTGATTAAATTTATATTCTTATGTTGACACTGCTTATATTAAAGTAGGTTATTTTAATTGTTATATTTTGTAATAGTTATATTTCCTGTTTCTTTGTCATGATGAGAATTTGGAGTTGGACTATAGTTGGACAGTGCTTATCCCCTATATTTTTTCCCTTTAGTCTAATATATATGGAATCAATTATCTGATATTGGCCAATATATTGTTTTTTCAAAGCCTAAAATATATCGGTATTGGCCTTCAACATCCTGTATGTGCGGGCCTCTAATATTGAAGTTAACTTTGGATGTGATCTCTGAGCTGCTGACAGACGATTCATCTCCTCATGAAGTTTTCCATCCTTTCTAGCCGCTGAAAGCTCTGACCTCCATTATTAGCTCTCCATCTGCCTCCCCGTCTTTGTACCTAGACACCAGCAGGTCCCTTCACCCTCCTCTTTCCTCGTCCTCCCAGACAGGACTCCCGTTGTTGCAGCCTCTACCTGAGCCCCGTCTCTCTTTGTGTCGTGTCTCCTGTTCCTGAAACCCGAGAGCCGCCAGGCTGGCTCACAGAAAGGACCTCTTGTAGTCCTCGTACAAACGGGTCAACGTACGGTTCTCAAGACGCGGCGAGCCCGCTCAGAAACGTCAGGTTATTTTAACAGGCCTCTGGGAGGAACTATACAGCTGTCTGGAATTTGATTTCAGACTCTTTACAGCTTTAAGTTAATATAAAACATTTATTTTTTTTATCGCCTGACTTCAGTCGAAATCCTGCTGTCTAAATTTGACCCTTCCTTCACTCCTGCCTTCCTTGATGCCTCCTCTATACTCTTACTGAAAAAGCTTGAAGATATTCTGGAGCTTTGGACTAAAGCAGATCTATGAGCCGCCTTTAAACACAGATCAGATCCTCTGTAACGTTTCTATCAAATAATCCAGGACTGATCCACCTGCTGCTGACAGGTCTGTTTCTGCTACACTGATGCAATTTTTGGTTTATGTACAATCACAATGATGTCACCTCTTTTTTATTATTTTTAACAAGATGGAGGTTGGAGTGTGTGCTTATTTCCTTCATGATCATTTTACTACGTTTAATAGGTCAAATTACTTCGCTAAGCAAAGTGTAGCAGATTAATGTGCTGTTGGAGAGCCAAAGCTGCCATACTGTTTTTAATCTGTGGGCTGATGGCTGTATGTTGACGGGTTGCAGCTCATTTTTCCCTGATTTTGTTGCCAATTTAAAAGTTCACCCTTTTATGTGTTTCTGTGCGCTTTGAGCTGGAGCTGAAGCTAGTTCCCTGCATCAGGTAATCTCTGCAGTAATGCACAGAATCGATAATTAGAAATGGAAACTAAAAGAAGTAACAAGTATTTCCTTTAGAAGGGACCTCATAATGAATGGAAAAATCATTTTTGACATTCTAAGTTTACTTATTTTTACAAACCTAGGTAATAAGATCTTTATTCTATTTATGTTCTGGTGGAGGTAATTCTTTACACTTATTCTTCACTTTGTGTTTTATTTTGTTGAATTATTTTTTTATGGAGGCGATAATGTTCATCTGAGCCTTAAATCTGGAGCAGATCTTTGTTTCTGACGTAAAGATCCAGAAGCAGCTGCAAGTTATTCCAAATACTACATCTTTTAAAACAGGCTTAAACAATCTGAACATTTGTGTTGTTGCAGGCTGCGACTCCACTGTAAGAGGAGCGAGCTGGTTCGAGAGCTGGAGGAGACGGTCCGACTGGCCTCGTCGCTGCAGATGCAGCTGAAAAGGTTTGTTTTTCTCATCTCTTTAGGATCGTCTTTCTGGGCCGCAGTGGAACCGGCTTAGCTGGGATGTATTTAAGGGTATCATTTTTATTTCTAAATACCTGCGTTCTTTTCTTAACCATCATCCCCCACTTCCTCCCTCAGCCTCTCTGCCAGCACGCTCTCCTGCTCCTCTGGCAGCAGTCTAGGCTCCCTGGCGTCCAGCCGCGGCTCTCTGGCCACCACCTCCAGCATGGGCTCCACCTCCTCCCTTAGCTTCACCGACATCTACCTGGAGCAGCCCGAGCTGGCTGACCCGGACCTCCGCATCAAGCTGGACAGTCTCCTGCAGGAAGGCGGCCAGGTGGGCTATCGCCCCTCCAGCTCCATCACCACCATCCACGAACACGAGGTGGTGACGGGCTGCAGGCAAAGGCAAACGGGAAGGTCAGAGGGGAACGCTGCGGCGCCGGCGGGAGGGGAGTCCTCCAGGGTTCAGGCCCTCAGACTGTCTGAAACTCCTCGTTCCATGAACTCTTTATCACCGCGCTCGTCTCTGTCCTCGCTGTCCCCGCCGTGCTCGCCGTTAGTTTCGGAAACCACTTTCCTGTCAGGGGAGACGGGGCCCGGCGGGCTGGGGCTGGACCTGGAGCTGCGTAACAGGCTAGCAGAGCTGGAGCTGGAGCCTGACGAGCAGCGGAGGGAGCAGCTGGAGGAGAAGCAGAGCCTGGGCAACGTCCTCGGAGAGGATAGCAGAGGTGAGCCTTAAAAAACCAGCATCCCACTCCCTCGACATGCACTCAGTCCTGAAACCTCTGAGCAGCAGATGTTCAGGTTCCCTGGAAAGTAGAATACCAGGAATCTTGACTCCATCAGTGCTGAGAAATCTAAAACTTTACTGAGACAGAGGAGTCAGATTCCACCTGTTTTCTAATAAAAGCTGCAGCCTTCTCCCGTTCCAGCATCCTAATGTGGAGTTCTCCTTGTTTCACCTCAATAAGCTGGAAGTTTTTTCTTGTTAAGTTCATTTAACACCATAAGCTAGGCTTAATGTTAGCAGTTTTATTGTAAGAAGTTGGAGAAAAGTTGTTTTTTAGTTAGTTAAATTTGGTGAAATGACCCCTAAAGTTTTTTTTTGTTGGATCATTTAATATGAGCGAGTTGGAAGCAGCCGAACTCGACTCCAGTCCCTGCCAGAGCCGTTGGTGAAAGGTGGACTCGGTGTCCGGTTTCCTGTTAACTCTCCATTGCTGCTGCCAGAGCTTAGCTCACTACTGATTATGCATGAAGGACTTTCTCAGAGCCACTCTGACCTCTGATTCTTCATTATAAAAAAGTAAAACAGACTTGGAGGTTTAAGATTTAAAGTGATGTTTGGATATTTTGCTTTCCCTGGAAAAGATTACAGGTAACTTTTTGTATAGTTGGACAGATTGATTTGCACTGTTTTATTCTGTGTTTGCATGTCTTCAAATGTAGGGGCCCAATTTCGAGGGGCGGGGCCAAAGAAGATAGGTGTGACATCAGCGGTCTCAGATGAATCGGTAGCTGGTGATAGCGGAGTGTATGAACCATCGGAACGCAAGTACGTCTTCTTTGCCTTCCAGTCAAATTAACATATTAGAAATCTAAATATCTCCTCATGCTGATTAATACCAGCTTCATAAAAACAGAGGCTAATCATATCTACTCATATTTTTCTTGCTCTAGGCCGGGTATGTCTGCAGAACTCCTCCTGAGCTCCTATGAAGACAGGTCCGCATCAGGCTGCTCCCAGGTCCAGCTCGGCTTCCGTTACGAGTCCAGAGAGCAACGCTTCACCATTTATATCATGCAGCTGTCCAACTGCAGCGCCCTCTGTCTGCCGGCTGACCAGAATATGTATGAACTGGTTTCTGCCTGCCCCTAATATCATGTCTGTTAGTGCAGATCATGTGACTCGGCTGTCCTGTTCCCTGTAGGTATGTTCGCCTGGCAGTACTGCCGTCCGTTCGAGCCACCCGCTGCCTCTTCAGAACACGAGGTCTGCACCCCCAGGATGTCGTGGTGATCAACGAGGTGTTTGGCCTGCAGATGTCCCACAGCGCACTGCGTCAGAAGACCCTGCGGGTCGACATCTGTAACACCAGCAAGTCGGGCCATGAGGAGTGTCTGGTCAGTGCTGACAAAGCTTTTGCTGTGATTTATGGATTAAATACGTTTGTATTTATAGTCTTTATATTTTTCTATTTGCATGGAACCTTAAGAACCTAAGCATGCTGTGTTTTAATTGTTTTGTTCTTTTGATTCTCCTCCAGGCCGGGTCCCAAATCAGCCTGGCTGATGTCAGCTGTTCAGAGGAGCGATGCACCAAGTGGTACAACCTGCTGAGTCGCCTTCACATGTCTGAGATCAGCAACAAGGACAAGGACACAGGAGAGGATGTCAGCTCTGACAGGGTAAGCACAGGGGAAACACGGACAGCTATTGGACGGTTTCAGGAGGAAATCTGCAGCTTCACCGTCTTTTAGTGTAGCTTTTTTTTTTGTTTCTGCACAAAACACATGAGGTGCAACCACAAAATTTGAATGAGGGCTGGACTTTAACTGGATCATTTAACATCTTTATTCCTCTTTCTGAGACACTCGGTTTTGGATTTTCCTGCTGAACCTTTAAAAAGTGACAATATTTTTTTATTTCAGACTCACGAAGGGGGCCAGCCCGCTGACACTGATGAGTGGTAAGTTTATCCCTCTCTCCTCACATCTGTCCCTGTCCACAGTTTTTGTGGAAACATGACAGAACAATGTTTCATGTCCCGTGATCATCAAAAGAGGAAGAAATAAACAACAGCAAACTCATGAAATTCCACTCTAATATTTTCCATATGAAGCATTGGCATAGAGCTTCCTTCAAAATCAATAGAAAAAACAACCTACTGACCACAACTAGAGCAATATACCTTAGAAGAACAGGAACTAACTGACTTAAACTACTTGAGTCATTGGAAACAAATAACCGATGGACTGCAACAATAATAACATACGAACAATGCTAAAGAGTTTACTTACAATTATTGAAAAGAAGACAATAATTCATTATGGTAAGGGACAATATACCAAAAAAAAAATGGTTTTCATTTCTGCTCAACCTATGCTACCTGAAGTTGGATTCCAGCCCACGATATCCTATTTTTATTTTTATTTTTTTTTAGATTTTAGTGAAATTCTAGTGATTATATTCTGTCTGTGTTGGTCCTCAGGCAAGGCGACCCTCTTGAGGGAGACGTGTCTGATGAAGAGGAAGAAGAAAATGATGGGGAGGACGAAGAACCTCCAGATGAGGAAGAAGAATTTTACCCTGACAGCAGACAATGGGAGGCAGAGAAAGAGGGAGCGGAAGAGGAGCAGGAGGTGACTAAACCCTCCACTACAGCAGCACGCATCACAGAGAAGGTAACAGGTTTCATTTCTGCCTTTGTGTTAGCCAACCGTTTGGCAGTTCCCAAATAAATTCAGCTCTGGTCTTTTCTGGCTGATGGTTGTATTCCCTCCATGCAGGTCAACAAAGAAACAAGCGTTGACAACTTGTCAGCGAATCATCACTTAGCTGTGGTTCGGCCAAAGGAGCGCCACCCCGATATCCACCAGCAGAACCCCTTCATGAGGGGAAACACCATCATCCGCTCCAAGACCTTCTCCCCTGGACCTCAGAGCCAGTACATCTGCAGGGTAAGAACTTTAACATCATTACAAAGAGTAAACATCTCTTCAGTCGTGTCTTTATGAAACCTAAATGTTTTCATTCTCCTGACTGCAGATTAATCGCAGCGACAGTGACAGCTCTACCCTCTCAAGGAAGTCCCCGTTTGTCAGAAATGCCTCAGAAAGACGCAGCATGCGCATGAAAAAGGTAGCTAGAACTTCTTCACTCCGGCAACCCTCTCTGTTGAAAGCTTTATCAATAGATCCTGCATAGGGGGGCCTGTCCAGGAGTATTGGAGTATCATTTGGGATTTTTCTGTAGATGGAGAGTGTTTAGAAAACAAATGAATCATGTTTTATTACCTCTATCAGGGTCTGTTTTGAAAAAAAATTATGATTTTGGGGTCTTGTCCAGGATCACCAAGTACTTTCTGTTGGAACGTAGAAATTACAGTTTCTATTTAGTAGCTGTAACTGGGAACTAGATATAAAATGGCTTTTTTGTTCAGATAAACTGTTTAGTTACACTTTAAAGTATGCTTTGTTTTACATTTCACAATGCTAAAAGGATGCAAAACTGATGTGAAATGTAGATTTAATAATAGAAAAGGCAAAATTACGTCAAATGCAGTCCTATGAGTGTTTTTGTTTTTTAAACCAAAACTTGAGCTGGTCTGACAGATGAATACCTAATTGTCTTGGGTTTACATTCTTGAAGGAACATTTTCTGATTTTATTTACATAACAGTTGATACATTGTTTGAATTAAATTTTTTTTTTACATATAATGTACTGGGTAAGATACTGGGTAAGATTTCAGGAAAAAATATACAGATATACGAGACAGACAAAGAAGTACATCATAAAATGTAGCCTTCTTTAAAAAAAAAAAAAAACTTGGGGGTGGTCATAGAGTGGGACAATAAAGTGCATTTGCAGTATAATCTTGTTTTAAAAAACGTAGTCTTCAAATTACAGAGGCACTTTATTTTTGGTCATGTTACAGTTATGAAGACTATGTTAGTGACTTTTTCACTCCAGCGATCACTTTTACCACCCCTTGGTTGGTAAAAATACACTAATGGTAGGATTGTGGCCACACAGAAGGGAGGAGCGAGTAACAGCTATCATACAGATTCATGTATGCTAGCAGTTTTCCACCCAATGTTGAAGTCCTGCAGTAGTTGACTGTGGACAAATGGAAACTGAGATGATGAAAACAATGAAACCCTGAAGCCAAAGCTGTATATACCTGTGCTCAGTGCAGAGGAAAATCAAAATAAAATCCCTATCAGTGATTTTTGGTTAAAATCCATTTTGTCCAGGATCCTTTTAAGCTTTTTTTTTTGGTTCAAACATTTCCATTAATCTACAACTCCAGTGAAATTCGACATGGTTTTCAAATCTGCTTAGAAAATAAACTGAAAGGGTAAAAGTCAAACAATCCTCCTGTTTCTTTTCGCCATATGCATATGCATATGATAAATACCTTTAACTTTTACTGTTGGACCTTCCTGCTAACTTTTTGTGTTCACACTCATTGACAGTTTTTGCTCCTGTCGTCTCTGTAGTTTCTACTATTTTCCTTGATATTTGATATGATTATATCGTTAAAGTCAAGTGGTTATCACCGAAGAGCCTGTTTGGTCTGTTTTTTAAGCACCTAAAGCCACTGTCTCCCAGTCAAGTGATTCTAAATATTTAATATTGCTCTGAATATTTCATGTGACTCTGACATTTACAGACTTATAATTAATCCGATCTTGGATTCCCTCCTTGGAGATCCTGAAAGTAATAAATTAGTTGAAGGAAACCTGAGGTAATAGAGATTAAGAGGCATTTTTAACACATCAGGCTCAATAGATTCCTCTCTATGTTGATACATAATCTCACAGTGTTTTATGTTGAGCCGATACACCTTTAAGGATTCCTCTCTGTACTCCATGCAGCCTCCTATGCAGGCGAAAGGTCTGGACGGTCTCCTTCGTACCTCTCTGGATCTGGAGCTGGACCTGCAGGTTTCTCGGACCCGTCAGGCCCGTCTGGCTCAGGAGCTGCGGGTTCTGCGGGAGCTGAAGACGCAGCTGGAGGAGGCCAGGCAGCAGGGACAGATGGAGCTCCCTGTCTGGGTCCAAGAGGACGAGCGCTTCAGGCTTCTCCTCAAACAGGCAGAGAAACAGGTTAAAAAAAAAACAATCAATCAAAGGGAGAAGATGGTCCATCTGGGAAAATAACAGGGTTCAACATCTGTTTCTTTTGTTTCAGACTCGAGAGGAGCAGCTACAAGAGAAACGGGTAGAGAAGATGATGAAGGCAGCAGTCAAGGACGTCCACAAGATTAGAGCACAGAGCAGAAAGCAGGTCTCTGAGGTCCAGACCTTCAGGTAGGAGATTGGGCCTTTCACATCTTTCACGCTTATCTTAGTTGCTACCAATTTTTAGGTCAAAGTTCCTACAAACTCCTGAACAGACTTAAGTTCAAACGAATATTTTTAGATATTTTAATATCTTAAAAAGAGGAAACTGAACATGAAGGAGTTATCTGAGTCTCCATGCAGATGTTTTATTCTGTTTTATAGAAATCATTTTGACAGACAGGGCATATTGTGCGTTGCTGCCACCTTGAGACTTCTGTGCCATATTACAGGCAGTTGCTATCAACAAGAGAGATCAGTAATCTTAAAAGTAGTTATTTCAACTTGTTTAATTCAAATAATTGAATCAATTTATAAAGCCTTAGACCCAAACAAACATTTCTCAAATCTGGTAAAGCCAGACATTTGATGGATGTTATTGGATGGCAGGACGTCCAATAGGGGTGTCCAGATGTCCAGATTGAAGTTAAGGCTTCCCAGTGTGTGTCTATGAACTAGAAAGCTTTGGTAGACTCGTATAAAATCCTATTTTTCCTTTGACAGATTTTGGATATAATCAGAGATAAATCAAAAATCCTGATCTTTGACCATGACTTTTTTTTGTGGTTGCTTTTTAATTTCCAGAGAGAAAATGGCATTCTTCACACGAGCCAAGACCAGCATCCCCGACCTACCGGCCGACGACGTGTAGAGAAGCATTTCAAAGTATTTTCCTCTCCTCCGTCTGGATCAGCTACCAGGCAAACGTTCGCTGGTGTCTTGAAGAGTTAAAAACACACTGGACAAAACAAACCCAGTCGAAACGGTGAAGAAACATTCTGAAGCAGCTCTACATTTCTCATGTGGACAGGCTTTGTAAATCTAAGTTGGTTCAGCTGGAGCTTGTTTATCTTTATTTGCTGTTCCTGCTACTAATCAACTGTTATTAGTTGTTTTAAAGTCATTCCAGCTAAAAAAAAAAAAAGAATCTCAGAGTTTTATACTAATTTCACACAAATAATGTACATAAGTAGCACAAAATGAAACCAGCAACGGTACCAGAGTTCACTTGATGCTAATGGTGAAACAAATCTGAAAGAAATTAACCTTTTTCTGTAATTAGAAAGTTGTATATGCAAATACAAGCACAGTGTTTCTTTTTGTTTCGGTCACCTTTTTGCTGCAGACATGAAGAAAACATCTCTATGTTAGCTACTGAGACTAAAAGCCTTCAGTTTGTTCAAAGTGCTGCAACTTTTTTTAAGCTTAATGAGAAATGTATTGCGTAAAAATCTTCCAAACTCTCCTCTCCCCAAAGAACGAATCTAAGTCTGAATTTCTGAAAGAAACATACAATCAGGGGATCTTAAAAACAGGTTCACAACACTTTTAGTGGTTGGTTGGTCTTTGTGAGGGTGGCGGTGGTATCTGGGACACCTATTAGAGAGACGGGACACCTGATTTACCACCTGATTCACAGTGAAAAAGTTTTCTAGACGAGTTTTTCAAGAACAACTCAACTATAAAAAAAAGCCCAACACATCAGATAAATACATATTTTGTTTAATCTATATTATAGGTTATTATTAAAGTAGAGGCAGCAGAACCATGCTTCTTAAGGATCACGCTTTTGTGCCTTAAGTACAATCTGCACCACCTTAAGTGAGCAGTTCTATAATGAAATGGATAAAATAAGATGATCAGATTTGTTTTCATATTTATATGGAGTTAAAAAGAAAAAATAATTTTTTTAAGCAAATCATGAATTAATTCAATAAATTAAAAAAATAAAAATGACTGGTTGTAATGACAGCATTGACCACAGGTGTCGCCAGAGCGCAAGCTTTTAAGCAGCGTGATCTGCTGAATTTTTTTAATTATCTAAAAAAAGCAGGTTTAAAATAAAATAAATTGAGCACTTCCTTAATAAGCTCAAACCTCCAGTTACCATATTTCACCACAAGGGTCACCAGATCATAAGGATTAAACTATTTTCTTTAGCAGAATCTACAGCTTTAACTGAAATGGGCAGTTTGATTCAAGTTGACGATGATTGTAGATCATCAAAATCAGAGTTTATGAACTCAGTTGTAATACAGGCTTATTTTCTTTTTTATCGGATTATCTTTAAGCAGTTCAGCAAAGTGTAGAAACAACACTAACCCACTAACAGGTAGTTTATTGGATAGTCTGCACTTTATGTTTAGGAGGAAATGCACAGAAAAGGAAACTTGAGTTTCTGATCTGAGTTTGTTAGAAATAGAAAAACCCTTGAAGCCTTTTCCTCATGCTGGATGATAAATGATTGTCGAAACACGCAGAAAGTGAAGATCTAAAGTATTTTTGATGACTGTGAATTCCTACTGATTGTATGTTTGGTCACAACAGAGAAAAAAATCTTCCAGTTAACGAAAAAAAAGTTCCTTTTAAATGATTTCTCTTCTTTTTTTTCAACCGTTTTTTTTTTTTTTTTTGTCCCATTTTCTCTGTCTTATATTTTGGCTATAACTAGAGTATTTATGTACATATCAAAGTCACTCTGACGGGTCTTATTACTGGAAGTTAAATGGTTTAGCAGCGTTAATTTTTTTAATTAAATGTTTATCTGGCGCTGAGAGTTTTGAATGAACTGTTGAATGTCTGTTAACTGCAGCTCTTCCAGATGTTTCGGTTTTACAGCCCATACCTTCACAGCTGACGATCTCTCCAGGCGTCGTCACTTTTACTGTTTACACAATAATTAAAGGGATAGTTCAGTGTTTCTTTTTTTATTTTATCCTTATGGGGCTCTAGAGAGTAGTTATCGGTACAAACTGATGACTTTTTCCAACATTTTCCTGCAGTAGACCTCGTCTAAACTGAAGTGTTTGTAGATCGGTTCCCCTTCTTTGGCTAACCTTCGAACTAAATCAAGCATCAGCCGAACTTAAGGTGTGACAGGAGCATGTTTTGCAGCTCTGGTCTAAAACATTAAGTTCTGTCTGTATGGATCTGTTTATGTTCTGAACGCCACCTATAGTGAGAGCTTTAAGTGGAGCCTCTGCTCGTCTGGATCAGCTGAGCAGAGAGTCTGCTGGATCATATAGTTCTAGTTGTTTAAAATTCCCGAGTTTGAGTCATTTATTTATTTTTTATGTGATGACTAAAACCATCTCTGTAAAGCAGACTACACTCTGTTTCGTTTTCTCATTGTTTCTCTTTTGACCCAAACTCACTCCCGTTAATCTCCAACTGCAGATCAGACTAATAAGGACGTTACAGAAAGCAGCTGATGAAGATCTAATCCATTTATCCAGCAGTTATTTGCTGGCTACACCTTTCTCTAAAGTCTAGGAGATGTCACTTTAAATTGATCTACTGAATGTGGGCCTTTGGGTTGTCTGCCGCCCTCTAGTGGTAAGCAGAAGTCCTGTGTTTTGATGTAGATCCAGTGTAAGTTTTTATTTTTGTTTTTTTTTTAGAAGTGACTTAAAAACTCTGCTTTGCTGCTACAGTCATTCCAGATGTATTTTTTTTTTTAAATATCAATGGTTTTAAACAAACTGCATTAAAGATTTGGAAAGATGTTTTATCACATTGTGATAAAATGCTGCTTTCATTAGTAAATAAAACACATTAAAAAGGTTAAAGGATGATCTGAAAGTATTTACAGGAAAACAGGAGCTGATCTGGACAAAAACAAAGATGCAGGGTTAGGAATCACTCTTTCTCACTGAAACACTGTTAGTTGAAAAATTCTTCAGATTTTTCTTCGGGCTTTAAGTTTCCTGCATTGTGAGAATCAATGTAAAGATGTTTGTTTTCTGTCTTGTCTTTTAGATCAGATAGATGAACCATAAGCAGACTAATATTCACCTAACAGGATGAAGGAATGTAGTTTTTTTTTAAGGAATCACAGTAAATCATGTAGTTTTTTTTTATTACCATTGCAGCCTTTCTTTTTTCTTGTTTGATAATGATTTTGTTTTCTAGTAAATCCATATTACGACTGCTGATGAACCAGGTGTCGTGTTTGCTGACGGCGATGACAAACGTACGGCGTGTATTTATTGCACTTTTGTGATTTGGGTGTGCCCCCCCCCCCCCCCCCCCCCTTTTAATTTTTTAATCAAAATTTCCGAAAAGCTGTGAATTTTATTATTCTCAGACACTCTGTCGACAAGAGTTGTAAATATCCTACCAGCACAAAAAAAAAAGATGGCGGACAAAACACAAATGTTATGTTTTGTAGTTTCACAACAAAAATAAAAAAGTTCTTCTCTTATATGTGGATTTGTTGTTTTTTTAAATATTGGTGGCAGAATCCAAGCTGATACCGATTGATATAACGTTCTTTTTTTTTCTTGTTCTGAAATAATATCTAAGGTATCAAAGACTTATATTTTTTTATTTGTGTTGATTAGCTGTATTTTTCTCACATTTTTATTTGCATATCCAAATATTAAGGTTGGTTTTAGCGAAACTGAAGCGTCGGCCTATGCATGGTGCAAACATGTTTGTACTTGTTTCGTTTCAAGAAGGTCTGAGTGAAGCACTAAACTGTTAAAGCGCATCTGATGCATCTGCAAAAATTTTTTTTAATAAAATCTGATCTTTTGCGGTTCACTGTCAAATTCATTGAGAAGTATGAAGCAGCACAATAAAGGCTTCAGCCATGTGGGACCAGTTTGATCTCATAGGTTTTAATTTTCTCCTTTTATTACCTTGTTCCTCTGAGTTATCACTCCAGTTATCTGAATTAAAATTAAATTCAAACTGACTTTTATATTACAGTAATTACCGTACCTACTGTACCCACAAGCATCCTCATTCACATGTTCTATATTCTCACGTTATGATATAATTATAAAATTATTTAGACTTATTTGAGTGTATACAAAACGAATATTTGACTTTATCTAAAACATATCAAATATATTTTCAATTTAGACGAAGATATAAAATAATAAAATATAATATAATGATATATTGTTATAGGTCATCCAATCAGAGTCAGTTTAGTCTTTCAAATAGGCTGCATGTAGGGACTCTAAATGTCCACCAGTTGTCGGCATTGAGGGACAATGTGTAGAAAAGCTTCATGGCGCCTCATCAACCCATCACTACCAATATCTTCAGCAGACTGAACTTTTTTAGGCCCAAACTTCAAATATAATGCCTTCTTTGTAATTTTATTCTGCTAAAATGTTAGAACTTGTCCCTTTCTTTCTTGATTTATTTTGTTAGACTTGATTGTTTCAGATTATAAAGCTATAAATAAACAGTTTTTCTGTGATTATTTCATTCATTATGGAAAGACAAACATTCTGAAGGTTATTGTCCTCTAGACCTAAGAATTTGTTTCTCTCACGTTTTGGGACACAACGGCCATAAAGTATTGTAATTCATAATAAGTCTCTAACATCACTAAGGAAGAATTTCAGTCCTCACGTCCTTGTAGATTTTTTTTTTTTAATTCAGCCACAATAAATCCTGGCGTTATTTCAAACCCTTGACTCTATATTTCCTAGACATCCAAGAGTTAAGGTTGCTGGTGCATCCGCTGGGCAGACTTTCTCCTTCAGGATTTTCAGGTAGAGAGCAAAATTACGTGTATATATATATATAATACTCCGAACTTACATATCAATGCAATTTTTGCATCATGTTTTTTCTCCCACACTGTTTACATTTGATCACTGCTGCACTTTATGGAACGGAAATGTCAATTTACTGTCTGAAAAGCTGTACTAAACAAAATTTCGTCTAAACAAAAGTCTAAATCTGAAGCAAATTCAATTAGTTTTTTCAATTATATCGCAATTACATTTCTTACAGCAATGAAAAAGACTCACTCAAATTCAAACAACCAATTTTTTGTTTTATGAAGAATGAATTTGGGGATTTTTTTTCAATGAAACATTGATATCATATTCAATTTTTAAACCTATAAATATGTCTGATGTTAGACTATTACATGTTTTTTTTTTTTTTTTTTTTTTTTTTTGAGAGATTCATTTATTTGGCTGTTTTAGCCATAGATATCCATAATAAAGGCTAGATGTCTTACGGCGGAGTCTCAAACGGCATCACCGGCGGCCATCTTGCCTCAGGCAGGCTTTCTGTTGTGCTCTGTGGTACCTAATGTAAGGTGAGTGATCAGCACGAACACAAATACTCTTACCTCACTGAATTCTTGACGGATTTACAAACAGTTTGGTTTCTTACAAACATTATGAACGTGGCTATTATTCTTGATGCTTGAACATGTCGAAATTGCAGATTTTCTTGTCGAAAAATGACTTAATCGCGCAGCATAGTTGTGCATCACGGCTACTTGCGCAAGTTATCAAGGCTGAGATTATTAGTCAATTATATAGGTTTTACTGACACCAATAACGATTGTATGACAATTAATCTTTGGTGTAAATTACAATCTTTGTGGATGTGGTTGTAGTTATTAGTTGGCTAATAACAATAATCTGAGTGTTGTTGTATTTTCATTATTAGCCTAACGTTAGCTGGCTAATAACAAGAAGCTGCAAACTGAGACCTAACGTTAGTAAGTTAGCAGCTAACGTTACAGTTTAGCTAGCTGCTAACGTTAACCAGCAACTTTACATCAGTGGAAGAGGCAGAATTTAACATGATTTCAAATCGATTTGGTCTGTCAACACATCTTACATTATGTTACAGGAATTTGCTGGGTTTATTAAAAGGAAGATGCCAGACTTTTGCTATGACATAATAGTAGTACAAGACTGTTGTTGACTCAAAGCTTTTATAAGCTTGTATTAGTTTCCTTTGGACAACTTAAAGATGGTGTTGTGCCAAACATTTTCAACTTTCCAGCTCATCTTCAAAGGGCATGTGTATCATTGAAATTTAATCACATATTGATATACCAATCTTATACACCGTGAATTGTTGTTGGTCACTTTTGTTTTTGTTTCTGCAGGTTATATAATGTGTAAGCAGGAGGAGAAGATCTTCCATCCCCGTTTGCAGACAATCCTGCGCTAGTACATGACCACAGCTACCTTCCTGTCCGCTTTGATGGCCTTGTGGACAACGGTCTCTTGTACATTACACAGAAGCTCAATAAAACCTTCCTTTTCAAAGGGCATTAGCCAAGCTATGTTTTTTGGGTCATTTTTTAAATCTCTGTCTTCCATGTGTATACCATCACAGTAGTGTAGGTGGGGATTTCAACATGCTACATCTATATATACTTGTGAAGGGGACTATTGTACCAATTTTAATAGCAAATAAATGTCACTTTTATAATGGTTTAAAAATAGGAACTTTTGTGTAATTACCCCTGATATATAATCCAAATAGTCTACATGAAACTTCAAAGTGTTACCTTTAATTTGAAACCTGGATTATGCTTCTACACCAAGAGGTTGCCACACAATAAGCCTTTTTTGTCAGTATTTCATATTTTATTATAACAATAATATTCATATTATAAAAGTATGTATGTAAATATAAATAAATTAGGACTGTGAAATAATTAATCACACCCAAATAAAAGTGTTTATTTATATATATATGTATATATATATATACATATTAATATATATATATAAATGTGTGTGTATATATATATATATATATACACACACACATTTATATCTATATTATCTATGGTTAGATATCCATAATAAAGGCTAGATGTCTCGTCCGCGCTGCTGGCCAATGGGGGTCGACGTCCGCACGTGGCGGCCATCTTGCTACAGGCAGCTCGCTCATTGGTAACATTGTGTTTTAAAGGCGCATGTACATAAATAACCATAACTTCCTCAATTGTCTAACGATTCTCAAACTGTTTGGTTTGTTAAACAAAAGTCAGACATGTAGTTATGACACTGCACACTTATGAATAATTATAACCATGGAATTTCATATGAAAAGAACATTGAATAGAACAAACAGGTGCAATAAATATACACATGCACAAAGTATTTGTTAAATCAATATATGCTATTAAAACTTAGTGTACTGAATGGCAACATACATATAGAGATATATCTATATATCTCTATATGTATATCTATATAGATATCTATCTATATAAATAGATATCTATATAGATATATATCTCTAGATATAGATCTATAGATCTATATATACATAGATATCTATATAACACTTTTATATAACACTTTTATTTGGGTGTGATTAATTATTTCATAGTCCTAATTTATATATATTTACATACATACTTTTATACTATGAATATTATTGTTATATAAAAATATGAAATACTGACAAAAAAGGCTTATTGTGTGGCAACCTCTAGGTGTAGAAGCATAATCCAGGTTTCAAATTAAAGGTAACACTTTGAAGTTTCATGTAGACTATTTGGATTATATATCAGGGGTAATTACACAAAAGTTCCTATTTTTAAACCATTATAAAAGTGACATTTATTTGCTATTAAAAATTGGTACAATAGTCCCCTTCACAAGTATATATAGATGTAGCATGTTGAAATCCCCACCTACACTACTGTGATGGTATACACATGGAAGACAGAGATTTAAAAAATGACCCAAAAAACATAGCTTGGCTAATGCCCTTTGAAAAGGAAGGTTTTATTGAGCTTCTGTGTAATGTTGTCCACAAGGCCATCAAAGCGGACAGGAAGGTAGCTGTCGTCATGTACTAGTGCAGGAATGTCAGCAAACGGGGATGGAAGATCTTCTCCTCCTGCTTACACATTATATAACCTGCAGAAACAAAAACAAAAGTGACCAACAACAATTCACGGTGTATAAGATTGGTATATCAATATGTGATTAAATTTCAATGATACACATGCCCTTTGAAGATGAGCTGGAATGTTTGGCACAACACCATCTTTAAGTTGTCCAAATGAAACTAATACAAACTTATAAAAGCTTTGAGTCAACAACAGTCTTGTACTACTATTATGTCATAGCAAAAGTCTGGCATCTTCCTTTTAATAAACCCAGCAAATTCCTGTAACATAATGTAAGATGTGTTGACAGACCAAATCAATTGGAAATCATGTTAAATTCTGCCTCTTCCACTGATGTAAAGTTGCTGGTTAACGTTAGCAGCTAGCTAAACTGTAACGTTAGCTGCTAACTTACTAACGTTAGGTCTCACTTTGCAGCTTCTTGTTATTAGCCAGCTAACGTTAGGTTAATAATGAAAATACAACAACACTCAGATTATTGTTATTAGCCAACTAATAACTACAACCACATCCACAAAGATTGTAATTTACACCAAAGATTAATTGTGATACAATCGTTTTTGGTGTCAGTAAAACCTATATAATTGACCAATAGTCTCAGCCTTGATAACTTGCGCAAGTAGCCGTGATGCACAACTATGCTGCGCGATTAAGTCATTTTTCGACAAGAAAATCTACAATTTCAACATGTTCAAGCATAAAGAATAATAACCACGTTCATAATGTATGTAAGAAACCAAACTGTTTGTAAATCCGTCAAGAATTCAATGAGATAAGAGTATTTGTGTTCGTGCTGATCACTCACCTTACATTAGGTACCACAGAGCACAACAGAAAGCCTGCCTGAGGCAAGATGGCCGCCGGTGATGACGTTTGAGACTCCGCCGTAAGACATCTAGCCTTTATTATGGATATCTATGGTTTTAGCAAGCTTGTTTAGTGATGTTTTTCCTCCGCTACAGCAGGTGGCGCTGCACAGATAGAACACATTAAAGTAAAAAAGGCAAAGTCCAGAACTTCCTTCCCCTGCAGTTTGTTTCATCAGCCACGAGTTTGAGCTTCCATTCAGCAGCAGAGATTTCATCCAGCGTTAAAGACAGATGGGAGACCCAGTGACAGAGTACACAGCCCGGCTTCAGCAGCAGGTGAGCCGCTGGGTTTTGCCGGGAGTTGCTGAGGTTTAGCTGCTAGGATAACCATCGCAGTGTGATGGATACCTGAATGCTACGCCGGATTTAATACAAAACTTCCCAAATTAACAGATTTCTTTTTATTATTTTTGAAATATTGCTTTTTAAAAATACTGAATTTACATTTTAGAAATAGTTGAACTCTGATTTAGGTTTCGGCATGTAACATTTTAATGAAATCAAGTTAGTAAAGGAAAAATGAAATTTTTTACTCTTTATTTAGTGCCATTCACTATGCAAAGTCGTAAAAAATGAAATGGTTTCAAGTGTTATAAAGATTTATCATAGATCATTTCCTTTCCGTTTTAGGTTTAAATAATAAATGTATTTAAGTAACATAAATACATCAGATACTGTGCGTTTTCAAGTTGGTATTTTTTATGGAAGGCCATTGGCGTCATCTGGTGGATTTAGCAGGAATTGTACCATCTGTATGAAAAAAAAACTGGTTATCGTTCAGATCTTAAAAGACTCCTAATCTATTTTTCTTTATGTTTTTTGTGTTTTAAAGGTATATTTTAAAACTGACAATCTAATACCAGGTTTTCCTATCTTTTGATAGTTATATGGGACATCTTTTGATTTGATTTCTTTCACAAATTTTTAATCTTAATTCTTACAGCATATAATGAGGGTCAGTCAGACAAGAAATTCAATGAAGCTGTTACCTCAACCTTTACACTTTGCTATGAAGTTTTATTTTGATTTCTGAGCGTCTAATCCAGCGGTTCTCTATCCTAGTCCTTAGGTACTACAGTCCTGCATGTTCTAGATTTCTCCTCTTTGCCAAACACCTGACTGGTGTAAAAGAACGAGGAACAGGACGGCACTTTACAGCAAAAGCCTATTCATGGTAGCTGCTGAGGATGTCATGCATTTGAATCGGATGATCTGCAACAAAGAGAGATCTAAAACATGCAGGGCGGTGGTACTTGAGGAGCAGGTTTGAGAACTACTGCTCTATTTCAAGTTCCGATGGGAAAAAAAGTATTTTTGGTTTTTACTCTGACAGGAACTCCTTTGTTAGTCTTTATAAAGGTATAATGCAGTGTTTATCCCCTTTGTTGTCTGCGATTTATTTTAAAGCATGACTAAAGTACATGACTAAATATTTCTAACAGGTTTTATTCTTTGGATCTCTTTCATTGACACCACCTTGGAAAAACACGCAGACATAATACATGCCAGACATATTTGGTAAATAGTAAATAAAATGCTGAATTTACATTTTCTGAATAGTTGGACTCTAATGACTTCGGCATGTTACCTGTGTTAAACATAATCTTCAATTATTTCTTTGATAAATTTACCAGAGTATTTAAGTTTAACTAAAAAAAAAGTTGCACTTTGAAGTGTTTGAAGAACAAAGCCATAAAATGTGCAATCACATTAGACTGACCTTTGACCCTTTGGTCAGATCCAAAGCGTAATGTTTTGAGGGAAAATGGACTCCCCACTTCATCCTGAACGCACCATCCTCACAATGAAACATAATGGAGGTTGCATCATGCTGTGGTTTGATATTGTTTCATTAGGAAAGTGAAGATGGATAATGATAAATGTATTAACGCTTGTCTCTGTGACTAAAAAAGCTTAAGGGAAATATATATATTTTAGGGTGTTTTAAAGGTTTAAAGGGTCATTTATCTTCTTTCGCCTTTTTTTGTTCAAGGAGCGGGAGATCCAGAGCCTGTCTGCAGAGATCGAGAGCCTGAAGAAGCCGCAGAACCTTGGGCCGTCGGCACGCTTGGAAGAGCTGCGGGAGGAAAACACCAAACTGAAGTACCGCCTCAATGTCATGAAGAGGGTGGGCGCCAGCTGGTCTTCCAGTTTAGCTGCTTAATGAGGTTTTAGTTAAAGTCGTTTTGACTCTGTTGGTTTTCACGTCTTTAGAGTCTTCAGGAGGATTCGACTCACTGCGGTGAATCCATGCTGAACATCAACCAGCGGCTGCAGGATGTTTTCGGCGAGGCCATCAGGACTGCCTACCCTGAGCTAGACAACCCGCCGCTGACGGTTACGCCCAACCAGCAGGCCAAGTTTGGGGATTACCAGTGCAACAGCGCTATGGCCATGGCTCAGGTACGTCTCTGCTGCTTTCCCTCTTATTCATTTAACATTTTTTCTTCTAAACACCTCATTTATAAGCTCCCAAAATACTAGTGATTCGACAGAAGAAAGATCACCATGTTTGTTTACAAATGAATCTCTTTGTTATCCAAATGGTCTGAACTGTTTTATTACAGATGCTGAAGGCGAAGGGGACAAAGGTGAACCCGAGGGAGATCGCTGAGAAGATCGTCCAGAACCTGCCCGATAACGAGCTCATCCAGAGGACGGAGATCGCGGGACCAGGTGGGAGCTGGACTACAGAACAGAACCACGCCATGGCACAAATGTTCTCTAGATTTAAAACATCTAAAATGCTTCTTTTAAGTAACTTTGATGTTAAATCTGCTTTGAAATTGTTAAACGGTTCTGAAACCCAAGTTAAATTTTTAACTAGTTCTTCTTTTAGTAAATGATACTTAGAACATGAACATTTGCTTTCTTTTTGTCTGAATTGAATCTCTAATTTTAAATTCTGTTTATTTTATTGTTGGTAATTTGGAAGAACAGGTCTACACACCTTTTAGGAGATGTATTCATGTAGTATAAGCTTATGAATTTAGAACCAGTTCCTGACTCTGGTCTGCAATTAAATTATGACCAAATGAGAAGACAAGGATGGAGAGGCGGGTTGGCGGTGCTCTTGAACAACAGATGGTGTCATGATGGTGGCTCTGTATAGGGTGAACTGACTGCACTGACCATGTTTTCAGGTGGACTTTTTCACTTAAAAATAGATTAAAACAACTTTTTACCCACTGATCACAGCAGATATAGCTTCCATTGTTACAGGCAAAGAAAGGATAGGGCAGCTCCGCCCAACGCGCATCAGACCCACTTTTTCCACCGCGCAGCTAGAGCAGCAGAGATGCTTCAGCAGGGGGTCTGAACTAAATTTGTACAAGCATTAGGGGTGGGTATTGCCAAAGAAGTCACGATGCGATTCTATCACGATGCATCACGATACTTCAATTATTGCGATGCATTGCAGTATTTTCTCCTCCATGTTTTGTTTTTGAATGACTCAGCACAGTATCCCACGGCCGGAAATGCTTGTGACACAAGGCAGCGTGCGTCAACACATTTGCAGCGACATCTACTGGACTGGAAGTGGTATTGCACTTGTTTTTGGCTGATGTTCGCCAACCATTCATGCAATTTTATTTATTCATTTTTTTAAATTAATAATCGATTCTTGGCATCAAGAATCGATGCAGTAGATCACGAAAATTAGAATCACGATGCATCATCATCACGATTATTTTGCACACCCCTAACAAGCATCAAAAATTAAGCAGCATGGGTGTTTTTGCTGCTCTTGCTTCTTTATTTGTGAACGTAGCATAACAGTGGCTAGCTTTCAGCCATGGCGTCCTGCAGGAGCATTGGGGGGTCGATTCGTTCATGTTTCACGGTACGCGCACGGGGGGAGGGACAAGCAGACGACCATGATTGATGTTTCATGGAACCAATAGTGTACAACGGGGCATGTTTTGTGGTTGGTGGATGTTACTCATTGATTTCTCACTGTAGCGGGAACCATTTGTTTTAGTTTCACTTTCAGACCTTCTATTTCACTGCTTGCTAAGCGGCAGTGGGGAGATCTCTAAGTCACATGTTAAAAAATGCGTCAGAAAAGATCTCCTACTGCACCTTTAAGTGAAAAGTTCCCAAATCACAAAGTATTTTAATGTTTTCCATGGTTCAAGTATCCAGCTGATATGTTAAAATGAGCCGACAGCAGATGGCAACGGTGTACAACATCGTCTATGTTTGCTGATGAAGCTCGGGTCAAACAATATTTTAAAGCTAAAAAAAAAAAAGAACCAAGTAAACGGCATCAGGATGAAAGCTTGGGTTAGATTGTTTTAATACGTCTGCCAAGGAGGTTCTGTCTTTAGGAGAGTCTGTTTGTCCGTCTGTATACCTCAGTCCGAGAAACAATCCAATAAATGCTCATGATGTAAATCACCGTCTGTATCCAGAATCTTTGTTTTTGAAAGATTTTGTGAATATGGGTAAAAATGAGTTACTTTGCAGAGATCTGCGCTCTATGAACACTTTTTTTGCTTTAAGATAAATATGTGTTATTGTTTTTAAGTTGTACTGTGTTCAGTTTTTCTAAAACCTGGTTTTGTTCATTGTTTTGGACCCGGTCTCATCATTCCTCTGCTCTCTGCTTTTCCTCCAGGATTTATTAACATCCATCTAAAGAAGATGTTTGTCTCCAAACTGCTGAACAACTTGCTGCTCAATGGCGTTCAGCCTCCGCCGCTTGCTACCAGGAAGAAGGTCAGCCCTCAAAATTTAAGCTTCATCTCTCCCCGCTGGTCTTTCATTTCTGGTTTTAGCCTTAAACAAACTGATGGACCTTTTTTTATGGGTTAATTCTCACCCGGTCGACGCATGAATGAACCACAGGAGAGATCCTGAAATCAAATAGTTCTTAAACAGACTATGCAATGACTTTAAATGACATGATCGCCTTTTGGCCAGTTGGATTTTAAATAGTTATGGATTGAAATTAAGATTCTGGGCTAAAACCGAAAACAAAAAAACTGCATTCATTGCTACGATGCACACTAACCTCACAAAGATCAAGGCATTGCTATAAATCAATCAAGTATCACAGTATTTATATAGAATATTGAGACTTTTGATAATAATGTTTACCTGACTGGATTGCTGAAAGCCTGTAAACATTAAACACGTCCTCCACAGACGGATTGGTGTCGGTTCCTTTTCTAGGTCACATTCAGAACATTCAGAATAGCGACTAAGATGTTTGGATTTCAGGTGATAAATTAAACCTGATGTGGAGAAACTCTGCAGATGCAAACGTCTTCAGCCGAATACCGAAAATGAACTATTAGGTCAGTTGGGCCATAAAGGCGACTGTTGTAGTAATTGCAGAAGTAAGATTTGCTGCATTGATGTTGCAAAGTAGAACAAAAAAAATCCTAAATATTAAGGAGGACTTGCAGAGTCTGGTTAATCTGAGAGGCTGGTTGCAGGTTTAATGCCTGCTGCAGCATTTAAGCGGTCTGCACCTGTTGATATGCTGAGAGGTGCATAAAGCATGGAGAGCCAGCACACAGATGATGGTTTGGCTATGGGGCAGCTGCATGGGGTGGAGGATTTCTCTTCAGCAGATATGGGGAGAAAATGTGGGAAAGAGAGGAAGGTTCTGGCTCAGATTCCTGAAGCACGGTGAAGTTGGCATCATCCTCGTCGCTGAGCCGACATTCACAGTCTGCTCCCTCATCCCGCATACTGTGGCTCTCATGGGGAGAAATAATATGCAAAGCAAACAGAAATGAATAATGTCCATCTTTTTCACCCATTGTCGCTAAATTAATGTTGCATAATTATAATTTTTTTGTCTAATTTTCAAGGCATTTTTTTAAAAGTAATCTTTTACACAAAACTGAAATCATTAGATGAAACTGGGCCTGCGATGCACGATTAATTTGGATCCAATTTAAATCCTTTTACTATTTTCTAACCTTTTATGATGAAGTGATTTCTATCATAATAATTGTTTTTATTGTATTAAATACTGACTGTCTTGTCCTCCAACATCTGTGCTTCTCGCCGCCCAGGTGGTTGTGGACTTCTCCTCTCCCAACATCGCCAAGGAGATGCACGTGGGCCACCTCCGCTCCACCATCATCGGTGACAGCATGTGTCGGCTGTTTGAGTTCCTGGGCTACGACGTCCTACGGTCAGCTCCCTGCTCTAGCCTCCTCTAACCTCAGCTGTCTGTGTGGCGGCGGCTCCTGGGGACGCCTCCGTTATCTGTAACGCTGTTTGTTGGCGTTGGCAGGCTGAACCACGTCGGCGACTGGGGGACTCAGTTCGGGATGCTGATCGCTCATCTGCAGGATAAATTTCCAGATTACCTGACCGTGTCTCCGCCCATCAGTGACCTGCAGGCCTTTTATAAGGTCAGTTCATGCTGTCGCTCTGGTTTCAGCTCACTCTGAGATAGAGCACATTTGCTTGTTTTTTTTTTCGATGTTTGGATATGCATATATTGTGGAGCAATTATTAAAATCCAAAGTGTGCCCCTGGATTAATTCCAAGACCTTCAGCCCTGCTGATAAAGGAGCTGATCACATGGACGATTTGTAATTTTACAGGTTCAGTTTATCACTAGCTTATTTCTTTTTCTTTCGCTGGATCATTTAGACTGACTTCAATTTCCTCGACACATTGTTATTTATTTTTTTTTTTTATAAAATAGTTTGAAAGCTCCAAAGCTTTCTTTTAAAATTACAAACGTCAAAAAACTCTTTTTGAGCTCTGTAATATATTTTGAGCTTTGTATTGTTCCTTTGACATGTTGCATTAATATATAACTAGGTAGGTTAAAAAGAAAAATGATATGGAGAAAAATGATATGGATAAAATTCCCTTAATGCCTCTGAGTATGTTTATCAGACTAATCGATAAAAGTTGAATACTTTGTGTTGCACCTCAAAGAAATATTGTGCAAGTTTTGTCCACTAGGGGGGCCTGTATGTTCCAGGTGTAGTGCCTCTGAAAGCAACTGGCAAAAACTACAGTGTAGTATATGGAAGAGGATTAGGGCCACTGAAAAAATAAAAAAGTTAACTGATTCTTAAATTTTATTTCAGTTTAATATGGGAAAAAATCTGACTTTTTTCTCAGAATTCTGTCTTTAATCTCAGAATTCTGGCTTTAATTTAAAAATCTGGCTTTAATTTCAGAATTCTGGCTTTAATTTCAGAATTCTGGCTTTAATTTCAGAATTCTGGCTTTAATCTCATAATTCTGGCTTTAATCTCAGAATTCTGGCTTTAGTCTCAGAATTCTGGCTTTTTTCTCAGAATTCTGGCTTTTTTCTCAGAATTCTGGCTTTTTTTTCTCAGAATTCTGGCTTTTTTTTCTCAGAATTCTGGCTTTTTTTTCTCAGAATTCTGGCTTTTTTTTCTCAGAATTCTGGCTTTAATTTCAGAATTCTGGCTTTAATTTCAGAATTCTGGCTTTAATTTCAGAATTCTGGCTCTAATCTAAGAATTCTGGCTCTAATCTAAGAATTCTGGCTTTTTTCTCAGAAATCTGTCTTTAATCTCAGAATTCTGGCTTTTTTTCTCAGAAATCTGTTTTTAATTTCAGAATTCTGGCTTTAATCTCAGAATTCTGGCTTTTTTCTCAGAAATCTGTCTTTAATCTCAGAATTCTGGCTTTAATCTCAGAATTCTGGCTTTTTTCTCAGAATTCTGGCTTTTTATTCTCAGAATTCTGGCTTTTCTTCTCTGAATACTGACTTGAATCTCAGAATTCCAACTCTTTTCCTATATTAAACTGAAATAAAATTGAAAAAACAGTTAACTTTTTTTATTCTTTCAGTGGCCCTAATCCTCTTCTGTAGTACCAACATTAAACAGTTATTGTTCTAAATTAAATCCTACATCAGAGAAACCAAATTATGTTTAAATAGGTTCAGAACCTTTAGCTCTCATAGGGGAGCAGGGGTGGAGGTAAAGAGGGGCAATGGGCACCCCTAGCCAATCATTGGCCACCCCTACAAGCTGATGATATTGGGGGAGTTCACCATCACTGGAAATGGACCAGAAGGTTGCAGCACTGATGCTGATATTTTTCAGTTCACATATTAACCAAAAATTGACTGCAGTAAATTTTCATAATCTGCTGCAAGTAAAGATGACAAAGATAGAGTTCTTGCTATTTTACAAATAAGCTTTTTTTTTTTTTTTTTTTAGGGGATATTTTATCTCTGCAGTCATCAAGGAGTCTTCTATATAATTAAAGATAAATAACCTCCAACTCATTTAATGTGTACATTATGTATAGCATAAGCATAGATTGATTTAAACGGCATCTTTGTATAGATATGTGGTTGGATTCTTTAGCAATGGTTTCATGAAAATCTGGTCTGTCTTCAGAGATTTATTAGATGTATATATAGATGTCATGCTTTGTTCATTTTCCTGTTGGTTTGCTGTGATCAGCATAGATTGACTGTAAACATTTTTTGGCACCTACTGGTTTTCGGCCACCCCTCAGTGCACATTGGTCTCTGCCTGGAGGGAAGTTCAGACTGCCAGCTCTGGGTTCCTGTTCCCCCTCTTGAATTAGGGATCACTATAGCAACCAGCATCTCAGCATTTTATTTTTGGAATAAGGTGTTGCTGCCGTGTCCCTCAGTTTAGATTTCCTCTCCTTGTTTTTGTCCACCAGGAGTCGAAGAAGCGCTTCGATGAGGAGGAGGACTTTAAGAAACGGGCGTACCAGTGCGTGGTCAGGCTGCAGAGCAAAGAACCCGACTTCATCAAAGCCTGGAACATGATCTGTGACGTTTCCAGGAGAGGTGGGACTTTGTAATGTAAACCGAATCGGATCGTTTACCAGGTTTTAGGATGAAATATAAAAAATAATTTAAAACTGTGGTGAAAAAGAAAAAGATTGAGGAAGTTTGAAAGATAGAAACTGACCTGAGGTCCTAAATAAATGATAGTTCAGCCAAGTTGTGCGGAAATTGATGGTTGTTGTTTCAGAGTTTCAGAGGGTCTACGACTGTCTGGACATCAAGATAATCGAGAGAGGAGAGTCGTTCTACCAGGACCGGATGACCCGGGTGGTGAAGGAGTTTGAGGAGAAAGGTGAGACGCTTTAATTATTGGATTCAATGCTGAACTCTCCTTACTGCTGACAGACCTAAGCATCCAGTTCACCTGGCGGGGGAGGAAATGACTCAATCTAGACCCTTTGAACTCCAAGTTCAGGTTTGTTTAGATCTGAAGCCGAAAAACAGTGAAAGAACCCAACTTCGAGTATAAAAGGTCAGATTGGTGCACCAGTTAGTTGTCAAACAGACTATCACCAGGTGCTGTTGAGAACTGTTGCTCCTCCAGATGCTGCTGGTTGTGAGTCGATCAGCTGAATGAGATTGAGGAGCGTTCAGAAACGCTGCTGGTTGTTTAAAATGAGGTTTATACACAGAATAGAACAAATGGAGGATAAAATAATGAATGAATGAGTTAAGAGGTTCTTGATCAGCCCTAGTAAGAGCAGGAACTTTCAGTTACTTGATTCCTGCTATTTTTCCCCCACTTCTTTTAAAACTCTCATACATCTCTCTTTGGCTCCTTTCGCTGCGTTTATCTTGTCCCATTATTCCTCAGGTCTGGTTCAGATGGACGAAGGCCGTAAACTCGTCTTTGTCCCGGGTCAGTCCATCCCACTCACTGTGGTGAAGTCCGATGGCGGCTACACGTACGACACGTCGGACCTGGCGGCGCTGCATCAGAGGCTCTTTGAGGAGAAAGCTGACGTCGTCATCTATGTGACGGACAGCGGGCAGGTGAGGAGTCCGGTCTTTACCTTCAGCTGTCAAACCATTCAACCTGCAGTGACTTAGAGTTCAGACCGTCTCCCATGTCCTCTGTGTGCTTTCCTCTCTCAGGGGACGCACTTCCAGGTGATCTTCGCTGCTGGACAGATGATTGGCTGGTACGACCCCCAGGTGACCCGGGTGGAGCACGCTGGCTTCGGGGTTGTGCTGGGAGAGGACAAGTGAGTCTATCTTGACCTCATACAGAGTTGTTGTTCAGAAATTTTCTAAAGTAATCTAATTGAAAAATTACTTGGAAATGGATTCATCTGGTCATTACTGTGAAGCTAAGATGGTATCAATAGGTTGTTAGGATCCATTAACATTCCATCATAATCCACTGATTTAACTGGTTAATAATGAAAAATGTTAATACTTGCTTACCGGCTTCCTCTAGCTGCTCACTGAGATAAAAGCTGTTCTTTAGAATCACGGCTCAGACCACGAGTCCAAGTCTTTAAAACACGTCTTTGCTCTGTCATTTTATTTCACTTAAAGGTGTAATGGAGGATTTTCCTGAAATTTTTGAAAGACCCGCCCTCTCTACTTAAAAGAAATTAATAAAAATGCACACTCACAACGCTGTACCCGCTCCTGAGAGGGAAGGCCTATTAAGCGCGCACAAGAGCGTGCATGAGCCCATTTCTCCTCGTGCACGCTCTGTTTAAAAGCTGCTGTTTGCATCGCTCATACAAGCTTACTTTCCAAAAGATTTGCAATTTTTTCACCATGTCAGACTCACGACCAGTAAGTGAAAATGGGGATGAGCACATAGGACGGCCTTATGATTGACAGTTAGGAGGACCGCTTATTTTGATGATCCACCTGGAAAAAGATCATCCTCCACTATACCTTAAGGTGTGTTCACACTCAGCGTGTTCTGGGCATCAAAGCATCTGATTTACATGTAAAAGTCATACGGGGGACGATGGAAGCAGCATCGAGAGGTCCCGCGGCGCATCAGAGTGTCTGTGCGGCGTGGCGTCAACGCAGAAGATTAGAAATCTGAACTTTGGCAGCTGGAGGCGGAGCGTCAGCCAATCAGAACATCTAATTTCGGGAAAGAAGGACACTACCTGCAAGCTGTTATTGTTTCTGTCTGGATATGAAAAATAAATCCATATCAGGGGGTTAAACTCCACAGGTTTAAAAAAATCCCCGAGAATGGATTGTTATGTAGAAGGAACAGAGATCTGATCATTATCACAGCACTAAAACATCTTTATGAACTATGGTGAAACAGTTTATAAATACCTAAATTAACCAAAAATGTTAAAATCTGCCAATGTAAAATATTGGATTTTATATCCTGATGATTGAAGTTTTTACCACAAACCTTAAAAAATCTTTCTATTCACTTCAAGCTGCTCTGAACTGCAGCAGGAAATCCAGCGGGGATTTCCAGCGCTGCCTCCCGGCGGTATGCTGGAGGTCTGGCGCTCTGAACAAGAACCGCATATTTTAGTAGGATCATAATCCTGATGAACTGATGCACAGAGGATGTTTGGAGGTGGACTCTCGCTTAAAAACATGGTAAAACTATTTATCCAACACCACAAAGTAAATAAAGCCATGATACACGATAAATGAAGCAGATACACATCCGGAGCGTCAAAGCATCTAAGCGTTTATTCATCTAAGTTTAGGTTTTTCCTCTCATCCGTCCGTCTTTGCATTAAGTCCTGAGCTCTGTGGGAATATTTGGAGCTAACTGGGAAGTTTCTATTTTTACCTTGATTTTTTTTTTTTGTATGTATATTAAAATTTTATATTAATTTATCTGAAAAATACAATTCTTTTAGTTTAAAAATATGTTGTGAGCCTTTATAAGAGCAGCTCAGTATAGCTAAGGTAGATTTCTTGATTTTCATTTATATCTAATTAATCATGTTGTCTGGTGAATATTAAGGATTAACCCTTTATTGAGCACTCAGTAAAATATATTTAGAAGATCAACATTTCAAGCTAAGCGTGTTATTGGAATCCAGGACAAGACCTTATTACCTTTGTAACATTAAAAAAATATGAATGTCAACGCGATAACAAGAAACACCAACTTGAGCGAATATATTAAGAAAAATAACAAAAGTGTTTCTATAAGAAATTCATGAAAAACACTCTGAGAGAGAAAGACACACATTTTTTTGGTACAACATAACCTTAGAGGCATTAATGCTGACACATTTTTTAGTTTATAAACCTAAATATAATTGTTAACTAGGCTTTTTAACTTTTTAATTTTCCAATTAGCTTTTTACCTTTTTTTATAGTTTTTTTTCCCAGTGACCAAAAACAGTAACTTGCCCTATAAAGGGTTATAGCTTTTGTTTGTGGGATTTAAGGAAATTATCACATCTCTCTGTTAAATGCTTGTATTTGTGGTTCGACTGATGTTTATTATTTGGTTGTTTCCTGTCCAGGAAGAAGTTTAAGACGCGATCTGGCGACACAGTGAGGCTGATGGACCTGCTGGAGGAGGGACTAAAGAGATCCATGGACAAACTGAAGGAGAAGGAGCGGGACAAGGTGAGATGAGCGGCATCACTACCAGCTGAAGGGTTTCTGGAAATGGTTCATGACTCCACGCCTTGGCTCCACCCCCAGCCAATCAGAGCTGTTCTCTATAATACGTCTTATTTATTTTTTTTACTTGCTGCACCAACAACACGTTGATCTGGAGCAGAGCGGATCGCTCAAACAGGAAGTCAGTTGAAAAGCAAAGGTGATCCAATCAAGTTAGGAAGGAAAAGACATTTTCTAGCGGCAAAGATACAATATTTCATTTCCACAATTGAAAATAATAGAAATCAGAGTTCAAACTTCCGCTTTCCATAATGTCAGTTTATCCACTGATCATTTTCAGCATTTGCTCAAAAAATTGAAAAAGATCCAATTTCATAAAAGCTGTTAAAAAAAGTAAGCTCAAGAATCTCCATCTGTTGCTGTTTTTCTTTTCAGATCATTCATCGTTTATAAATCATTCAGACTAACGGCTCAAACCTTTCCCCTCTGCTGGGATTGCTTTTGGGATGATGCTGGATGTTATTTCAGCCGCTCTTGTTATAGTTTGCATCAATATTTATAGTCAGATGTTAAAACTTTGATAAGCGGTCATTAAGTGAGCGCCCGGCCACCGTCCAGCGGGCAGCTCGTTATTTTAGCCTCCGTTTCTCTCCCTCCGATGCTGATTTTTTATTTTTTTTTATAGTAATGACCCGCTCGCTCTGTGGCAGCCGGTAATTCTTCCAGTCGAGCCAAACTGCAGGACTGAAGCGAGACCAGTAGTTTGGGTTTTATCTGCTGAGCTCGGCCCGCATGCATCACCCTCCGGGGTTCTTTATCTCCCTCCTTTTCCCTTCCTGAACTCACAGCTGCCCAGATGCTGCCTTTTTTACTCCCTGCAGCAGTTCCTCTTTTCATGGAATCTCTAAAATGTTTGTTGCTGCAGGTTTCACCCGACGAGTTGGTGGGAAGCTGGAGCCGATAGTCGTGCAGTCACCGGCGTAGTTCGGGATGCGTTACATCCTATTGATCATAACGAGAGTTAGCTTTCTGCTGTAAAAGTTGGCTGCAGCAGCTGATTTTCAGGGGAAATTAATCCCTCTAAACTTGATCTTCTCCCCATGGCATCTTGAAATCCCGCAGCGTTCTGCACGCTTCTCATCTTTCTGCCAAATAATCCTTTTTGATATCCAACAATAAAGTCAGATTCATGTCCTGAAGAAACATTTTCTTTTCCCGCAGCTGCAGGTTTAAAGGTCCAGTTTTCTTCCAGTCCTTGAATGCGTCATGAATAGAAACCAATATCAGAAAAATAAAGGCGCCTTTTTCCGTTTTTTTTTTTTTTTTTTTTTTTTTGCTGCATTTGTTGTTGAGTGAAGCTGCAGGAGGCCAAGGCTTCTCCTTTGACAGCTGGAGCTAGATGGTGCTAAAGAATAACATGGAACGACTTCTCCTGTTTGATTTTATGCTGCTAAACCAACTGTGTTGGCGGTAACCGTGAATATCGCCATGACGATATAAATTGTAGAGTGCCCAGTTTTTCCTTTCTTCTTTTTCCCATCTGTGCCTCCATCACTCTGTGACCTGTAGCCTTTTTTTATTTTGCAGTCATTTGTGTCCAGTGAGCATCTGCTGCCCTGAGACCGTCCATCTGGCTCAATATTATAATAGAAAGAAAAATGCAGTCTCATAACTTGGAATATAAAAGCCAACAATTACAGCACATGATCCTTTGAGATGTAGCTATTACCCTCTGATGTGTTGGAGATACACCTGCCTTCCCATCCGCCATGTTGATTAACCTCCTTAAAGGAGTTTCTTTTTTCCTTTTCATTGCCTCGGCTCATTACTCCTTTGCTTTTGGCTTCGTTTCCTTTTCACTGTTTTTTAGAATTAGAGTTGTGCCTGTTTTGGTTTTAGAAATGAAAAAAATAAAGGAGAGTGGCAACATTTCTACACTAGTGCTGTATATTTTAATGCTCTTTAATTAAGAATATTACCTTTTGCTAAATGTTAATAGATTTTTTTTCTCACCACTGTGTGAATATTTTTAGATTGCTTCCATAATTCTTTAGGGCTCTGATTGGGACATTTATCCCAGTTAAGTGCCAAAGCATTGAGCTGTCTTTATTCAGATCTTTCTATAGAGCCAGTGTGTTTTTTATTGTTGGTATTCTGACTTCTAAGTATATTTAGGAGAAGTTTTCTGCCACTATCCTGTTTAACTTGCTCCTCAGTGAATTTAGACTAAAGGTTCTGTTCTGTAATGTGGAAAAATTGGCCTATTTTATGCTTTTAAAATGGTCCTAGGCTGCGGTTTGACCAAACAGTTTAATCCAGCAGCTGCAACAAGGAAATCAGGCCTGTTTACCTGAACCGGTGAAGCAGCTGGAAGCTGCATGAAAAATAATCCTGTAAGCCGGTCGTATTCGAATGAGTTTCAATGCAAAGAAAAACTCCTGGGTTTGAATTTTATCCGTCGTACTTTGAAGCCGTCTGATGTCCCCGGTTTTTCTGCGTGAGAAGCTTTTCCTCAGTACAGTGAATATGAAACCTCTGAATGTGTCACGGTGCCTTTAAAGCACAATAAATCATATTTCCCAGGAAGCTGTGACCTGCTGACTGAAGGACAAACCTATAGTGGTTTATAAGATCTGAGTTGGTTTATTGAATTACCCTGAAGAAGGACCTCTGTGGACTCAAATCCATAGACTAACTTCAGTTTAAGTTTGAAAAAAGAAGCTCATACAAAGACGAGAGGAGCTGCTGTGTGTATATATTATTCTGAATGAAATAACTTTCTGGGATTAAAGTGGAGGAAATGCTGTTGGAGATGAACTAACGGGGTTCCCTCCTGAAATAAAAGGATCCTGCTCTGTGGTTAAAAAAATAATAATAGTAAAAATGCTGAAACATACTGAAATTCTTCTTGATGGAGAAAAAAATATCCTTCAACTTTTGTTTTTACTTTAGACCTCACTTTACCCAAATCTGCATTTAATTAGATTAGATTAGATTAGATTAGATTAGATTAGATTAGATTAGATGAGCTTTATTGATCTCACAGTGGAGAAATTCACTGGTCACATATTGGCATAGTAATTAAAGAAGGTGCAAACGAGGAGGAAAAAGGTGCATTAAGAATAAACAATATATATACAGTATATCAAGATAAATAAGAATGATGGTGCAAGTGTACATGTATGAAAAACAAAATAAAAATAAGAAATAAAAAAAAAAATACAAGGGAGTAGCGCAGAGATTTGAGGTGACATATGTACAATCAGGATGGCTTATATACAGGTGGATTTACTTTTACATTAAAGTGTAGTAAGTAAGGGGCAACGGTGAGGTAGTAGTATGACTATTATTTTCACATATATTGCACAGAATATTCTAATTGATCTAATTGCTAAAGCATTTAAATTTTGCAATCTTCTTAAATGTAAAATCTATTTGTTTTAATGCAATAAGGTAAGCCTTAAAAACCTTTTTAACATGTCTGGATCTCAGTCATTTATGGAAACCAATTCCTTCGTAGTGTTCATTAAAATACTGCTGCTGAAGTGTATTGTTAAAGTGTTTTTTGTGTATCATATAACCCTTTACCTGTGGCTGAAAAACCCATTTAAAACCGGGAACAAGCAGCTTTTAGGGGCAATGGGGACAGCTCACTGACGCGTGTCAACACGGGTCAAATGACCCGCGTTAAAACCACCTCGGCTCTGATCGCAATGCGGGGGGGGACACCAGACCCGTGTTGACCTGCTGACTATGAGATACCATGGAACTAATAAGCCGAAACTACTGTTTGTTTGGATAAACATGGAGCAGCTCTGGTAAAAGATAGTGAGAGAGATAATAATAAAGAAAACAACCTACTCTCTGGCTCCTGTCCATGTTGCACGCTTAATTAGGGGTGTAAATCACATCCATCATGGCGATTTCCTGACCCAACGATTCAATTATTTTCGATACTCAAGAATACACCACGATACGATTCGATTCCATTAATTGGTTTTCTTTTTTTTTTTTCTTTAACACCTTACAGGCTAGACAATGTTTCAAATTTGAAATAAATCAATGAAAGCTGTAATATCGTTATGCATTTTATTTGAGAAACAACAGCAAATAACAGAAGTAGAAAAGTTGCACTCCACTTATTCCTATTAAAACCTCATTCACTGAAAAATAATAATACCCCTGCGTTATAGATTCTGAAAGGCCTTGCATCAATAAATACTGCACAAAATCAGTGCAATGAGAGCAATGCAATACCTCGGCTCCAGACGTCCCCGCCCCCTCCACAGACGCTCCGCTGCACCTCCCCCAAATTATAGCTGACCGCAAACAGTGCCGCAGACAGGAGGTCGGCTTGTTTTGTTTTTATGACCTAAATTGTGGAAAATAGCTCGTGAAGTTTGACCCGCTAGAAGATAGAGGTGTGCGAGAATGCTGGGAGCCTTTTTCCACTTGGATCTCCCCTCTTTTTGGCCCTCATGTCCCTCCGTCGTCGGACTAAACTCGCCCCCACTTCCTCACCGCCTCGGCCGTATCTAGACCCACAGCGTGTAGCACAGACCACGCTTCAATATTGAGCTTAAATCATAAATCAAAAATGTCAGTGTCAAGCTTACTGCGACCGCTGCTGTAAGAGTATAACCAGGAAGCGAGGTAGGAGGGCTAGATAGGTTTAGCGCCACCGCAGCACGGGAGGGAGAATTACATCCAGGAGCAAATGGATAAAAATAGACCGGAGGAAAAATAAAACATGAATCGATTATCTTGAGGACGCATCGATGCATCGGATCGTCAGCTGCATCAATACCAAACGATTATTATTTACAACCCTCCTTAATCTCCATTTTTCTAAGAGCTCTGATCATCAGAGCACATTAAATGATCTGGATGTTTAATGCTGTTATTAATGAAAGTGGGTATAGCGGCAGATTTGTGGCGTTTAACTCCACTATGCCTTTTCGTAAACTTTATGCCTCAGAATTAGACTAAAACAACTGAGGATTTAGGGAATTTGAGACTGAGGTCCAAAACCCCTTTTGATATGAGAAGAGAGGAGGAACCCTGAAAAACTGGAAGAAGAAAAGGAGCAGCGTTAGGCGTGCAGGCAGAGGTTCTTGGCGGCCCGTCTGGAGTCGGTTTTAATGAGGTTCAGTTAGCAGATGGTAGACTTGGGCACTGACCCAGGCTGTGAGCAGGCTGCCCAAGTTTAGGTGGGCCTGCAGGGAAACTGCTGGCATCAGTCTGCATGCATACTTCTTCTCAGCATCAGAAATTGGCTGCTCAGCTGGAAATTGCTTAGTGTTGATGTTGCGCCCAGAGCTCCAGGTAAAACCTAACCAGGTCAGCGTCTCTTTTTTTTTTTTTTTTTTTTTTGTTCTGTTTCCTGATAATTTGAGCTTTGAACGCAAACACCTGAACATCAGACTGGCATTATTCAAAGCCACGCCCCTCTAGGTATCCCTGTCGTTTTACACAGAGGCATCGAAGCCCCCAGTAGGATGAAGGTCTGGTCACTACTAGGCCCTTTGAAAGAGACAACAGTCGGAGGATTCCCGCCTGTCCGAAGCTGAAGAGACGTGACCCAAACCAGGCTGTTTGTAGCGGTGATTCCAACGACTTCTAGCCAGAATCACTCAGCCTCCTGCACAAACTCAGACACACTGAGCCTGTTTTATGAAACGCAGCCCAACTGATTTAAATGCTTTTAACTGAAAGTTAGCAGAACTGATTTACAGCCAAGTAGATCCTGTTGATCACTGCTTTGTTCAGCTACTCATGAGTTCAGCAGCAGTTCATTGTCTTTTCCTTCTTTCAAACCTTAAATAATTAAATGATTGAGCCTCTAAATGCTTCAGGTTAAGCACGTTTGAAGGGTTTTGACCCGACAGGCAGCATTAAGCCATGTTCTGCTATTTTTTATGCATACTCCCATTAATTTGTCGGTGATAAAGAGACTACAGGTCCTGCAGGGGGGAAAGAATTGCAGCTGCTGATTGGTCAGGTGTGGACTGGTGGACAGGTGGTGCCGCGTCAGTTGTCTTTAAAGCCTGTTCTTAAGATCTTCAATGTTATTTTTTTTTACATTTCTCCTGTTTGTCAATGACGGCAACTAAGAACAAGCAGAAAAAAATGTTTATTACACATGAAGTTTAAGTGAAGAGTGTTTTTAAGCCTCTTTAATACATCATCAGGATGTATTTGAAGGCCTAACAGGAAGCAGTCTGCCTTCGGTCATTTAAGGACATCTAAACATCTGACTGACTGATCAGAGGGTCAATTATAAACATTCTCCTCACAAACCAGCTCCTTACAGTAAAATTAATTCTCTTCTTCTGCTACTGAAGATTTGCCTTATTTTCAGCAGAGAAAATAAAAGATATCAATTATGAATGAACTTGTAGCTTCCAGAGGCGTCGGATCCCCTTGAGTTGGGTTAAAGATTCAGCAGCATCATTACCGACTTTTTTTGTTTCTGGGTAGAAATGAAGGTTAACCTTGAATTCTCACTTTTTTAGTTTAGAAAATGTCTGTTTTCTGCTCTTTTTTTCCATTGCTCCGGATCATTAGTCAGCAGCTTGAGAAGCTAATGAGAATATTTTTGATTTTTAAACAACTAAAATGTAACATTTTACATCAGCTTTATGATTTCAATGCTAAAGCTAATCCTGAGCTAGGTGTTGCTAAATTAAAAACGCTGTATTTGTTTCCTTCATGTGCCTCCTGAACTTAAAGGGTCATATATTCTCAGTGTGAAGAGCGATGTTGACATTCCCACTAACTACATTTTCAGATGGAATAGAAATAGCTTTTTTTTATCTTGTTGGATGTCCAACCTAAATTAGAAAATTCACCAGATATAAAAACATATTAAGTTGCCTCAAAAGGCTTAATTCGCTCGCAGCTAAAGAGCAGTTTCTCATATTCACTGCCTGTTTGAGGCGTCATTCCTTGTTGTCATGCAGAACACTGCTGCAGCAAGGCGCGGCGTCCCATAAGAGGCGAGGATCGCCCCAGAAATCAATGACTCTGCATTTTTCTGCGAGTCTTTCATTCGATGTTTCGTCTTCTATCTTGTCTGGTTAAATCTTGTCTTGTCACAGGGTCTCCTCGGTCCGTTCTGCTTGACTGAAGGTTTTCATTTTCCAGCTGCTCTCATTTTAATCCTCCTCTTGGCTCCCCGTGGTTTCGGACTCAGATTAGTCGGTTTAATCTCTGCCTCGGGTTCAGTGACTCTGCTGCCTGCTTTGACTCGTACAGGGAGAAACTCTTGTCTTCAGTTTTTATCAGCTGATGGTGATCATCTATTTTATTCACTCCAGGATCTTAACTCCTCTGCTTGAACTGTGTCTCTGCAGGTGCTGAGTCCAGAGGAGCTCATCAAGGCCCAGAGAGCCGTGGCTTTTGGCTGCATTAAATACGCCGACCTGTCTCACAACCGCATCAACGACTACGTCTTCTCCTTTGACAAGATGCTGGATGACCGGGGCAACACGGCAGCTTACCTGCTCTACGCCTTCACCCGCATCAGGTGACCTTCTCACATCTTCTTTCCCGCATTTTTATTTAACCCATAAGGTCTTTAAAAAGGGGAAGCAAAGGGTTTTGTCTCCTTGATGTGCAGGCAGGTTAAAAGGCCCACAGGCTGCTTTAAAAACCACAAACTGCGCTATTTTGAAATCAGAACGTCACAACTAATTTTGCAAAGACGCTACTGAACCAAAATGGCTGCTTCTCTTCTTTCTTTATTAGTAACATCAATTAAGGAATAGATTAAACACTCTCCAAAATATTTATTTTTCTGGCTTATCATTAAGTGATATTTAGTTTAATTTAACCTTGAAGTGCATATTTTCAGCCATCAACAGGACAGATGCATCAAAAGGAACAAAAAGGAACCAACACAGGGGAGGAGAAAATAACTATAATCTACTAACAGAATGATTTTACTGCTCAGATGAAGCTTTCAGTTTTTCTTTAACAGAAAAACCAGACAAATGCTTTGCTCTAAATGGTTAAATAACAGCTCCTGGTTTATTTTTATACTTTTCAGTGTAATGTTGACTAGTTGGTAAAGTTTCTCTCATAAATGACCTCCAATTGAGGTCAGCTGGTAGATTCTGGTTGGGATTAAAAGGGTCAAACAAACTGGCTATTTTTCTCAACATGCAGAATAATGGAAAAGACCGTAAGTTTGGGAAAATCCTTTGCGTTCATTTTCTAAACGGCTGTAGGTCTGAAGCTCATGATGTCCCAGGTCTTTCTGAGCCCACCGTCCGTCATGTCTGAGATGTTCCTCTGCTGAAACGCACTGGGATTAAATGTCAACATCACCTGTGAGGACAATGGGTGTGAAGTGGTTAGCCAATAAATGGAAAATAAAAACAGAGATAACAAAATACAAATAAAATATATTATAATTCTGTATGAAAGAACATATTATACCCTTTTTTCCCTCCAATCTGCAAAGAAAAACTGCAATAAATAAATTTCTTCCAAAAGCTCATATTCCAGCTTGCTGAATTAAAATTTTACCACATTAGTGAGGTGCATGCAGCTCTGATACAGCTTTTATGCAAAAATAAAAGTTCTAAATAATGTTATCATAATGATTAGGTATAGACTATTTTTTTTAGACCTTGGAAATCCAAATGGAGGCGACGTCTCCTCTTAGTTCTGTGTTGCTTTGATAAGCATGGAGTCGGGAGGCGTTGATGGATCCAGGGTAGAAAAGGAAAGCTGTTATCCTGGCTGCCAACCTGCACGTTCATTCCAGGACTCCTGGCATTTCCTGCTGTCCTGGATTTCATGCCTGGAAGGACTCAGACTCTGCTGGAGCATTTGGATAAATCTGTGTTTATCAGTACATCTAAAGTTCTAAAAAGTAGAATCTTAAACTTTTTTTCCTTTTTTTAGATAACCTCCCAGCTCATCTAGTATACTTTCATTACCTGTATCAGATCCTCCTCGCTGGCTGCTTGTGGCAGAGGATTAGTCTCTGGGGCGTTCCTTATCCCACGTATCGAGCGTTAGGGTCTCCTGGATGTTGATCCCTCTAACTCTCTGGCCTCCCAGAGATGTTAGAATCAGGATAGCAGCAGAGATCGATCCTCGGCTTGTTTTTTTTTCTCAGCAGGGAGAGGTGAGGAGCCTCACTTAAGAGGATTTGTCAGTCAGTTGCACACTTGCAGTGGGTGACTGAACCACTCATCAGACACAAAGGTTAAAATCCTTAAATCTAATCAGAACGTTTTTCAGTGGAAAAACAATATCTGTACATTTCCATTTATGCTGAGTGATGGAAGTTTCCGTCTGTTTCAGCGTAGAAATAATAATCTTCTCTTCCTGTTTCCTCCCATCAGGTCCATCGCCCGTCTGGCTAACCTTGACAAGGCGACGCTCAGGAAAGCAGCGGAGACCACAGAGATCCTGCTGGACCATGAAAAGGAGTGGAAGTTGGGGAAGTGCATCCTGCGCTTCCCTGAGATCCTGCAGAAGATCCTGGACGACCTGCTGCTGCACACGCTGTGCGACTATCTGTACGAGCTCGCCACGACCTTCACAGAGTTCTACGACAGCTGCTACTGTGTGGAAAAGGACCGGCAAACAGGTGAGCCTCCATAAAACCCCTTAAAGATGCCTGATTCCAGGTTTTCTATCAAACTGTCCAAATCTTGTTAGTTTGTTCATCCTTCCGTCATTCAGCGTGTCCGCTGGTTAATCTGTCCCTCCAGTTTTTTCTAAATCGGTCCATCTGTTAGCGCCTCTAATCAGCTGCTGTCCTCTGTCTAGCTGTCCATTTGTCGATCGGTTCATCCTCCTGTTTTTGTAGCTCCTCCCATTAAGCTGTTCATGCTTCCCTGCAAGCTGCAAAACCCAGTTTTCTATTTATTTTTAACCAATTTACGCTGCCTCTTGCGCTGCTGTGAACTCGGCAGCGAACAGTCAATCGCTCTAATCAATGAGGACCTTTAAACCGCCTCCATACGGTGCAGTGAGCCGACGCTACGCCGGCAAAGCTCGTTTAGGACGGCCACCAAAGCCAGATCGCAGTATAAACACAGGAAATGCAGATTTTTCTAAATAATTTACTACAGATCCCTATATTTGGTGAAATACAGCTTCCCTGCATTCAAAAATGAAAAATTAAGAAGTTTTAGTTGTTTTGGTCTGTTACCTTTATTCCAGACTTTTGTTTTATTCTGTTGTGGAGAGTTCTGCACTGAAAAAAAATATGCAATCGCTTTTGGCATTTGATATTTAGTTAGTTTGATACAATTCTTTCATGTCCTACCTTGCTAACATGAAACAATTGTGTTAAAGTAACTAAATACGATTAAGTAAATGCCAAAAACGGCTGTGTTATTTTTATCACTGTGCATTCAAATGATCATATCTTCCTTAATACTGTATTTTGCTTTATTTTAACTTAATTTAACTTAATACTTTTTTGCCCTGTAAGCTGTTGGTAACCTTAATTTCCGGAAGGAGTCTTCCCAAGGGATCAATAAAGTTCTGTCTAAGTCTAAGTTTTAATTCCCACAAGTTTGACGTCACTGAAAGAGACTCCAGAATGATCTGTGAATAACTCAAAGCAGGCCTGGTTAGACATCTATATGGTTTTCCTACGTTGCGTCTCTTGACATATGCCAACTAAGGAATAATAAGTGCAGAAAAGCTGCAGATGTCTTTTACGGGCTTCATTCCTGTCTTTTAATAATTAACATCATTTTCTGTGTTACCAAAAAAAAGAGAAAGTTGGTTAAATGTAGAGCGACTACAAAAAAAGAAGGAAAGCAGGAGAGAGTTCAGAATTTAAAGCAACTTTTCGGGGGTTATTTATTGTTGCTGTGACAGAAAAGCCCAGAGCTACAGATCTCTGTCGTCCATTTTCAAAAGATCTTTGAACTTTCCATAGCTGTTCGGTTTTAAAAATAGATGCTTTAGTGTTCTGGAAGTGAGTCTGCAGATAGAGGTCTCATTCTGATAGGGCTGTGACTAAAAGCTGTGCGCCGTATGTTGGTCCTTCTTCCTGGAAGCGTTTCATCCCTGCCGTGCTGGAGTGCAAGCACTTAAGGCTTAGAGTTGATTTATTATGCTAATTCTCATTGCACAGGCTGTAACTCTAGAAGGAGCGTCTTCTTTTGACACTTTAACTCTATTTGGAAACAATTAGTATGCTTTTATGATAAACATGAGCATAAAATACTCCTCATTTCGTTTTTGCTTCATGGCGGGGCTTAATATATATGATGTGAGTTAATAGAGAAATAAACCAAAATGTAGAAATTCAGTTAAAGGTCCCATATCCTGCTTTTTGTGAGCCTATGTAAGACATATGTTTGGTTAAATATTGTCATCGACACTAGAGTATTAATTTGTTATGAAAAAAGTCTTTGGATGCTGCCATTTAATTACCCTATTATCCTGGTGATTAGCCTTTGCTTTAGGAAGTCCGAAGAAAGTCTCAGACCTCGCTGAGACATCAGTTACACTATTTACACTCTCCCTCTGAAACCCATCCGTACCGAGTTCGGACCGAGCTTGGATCAGTTAACTGGGCCAGGCTTGGTTCTTACGACCATTTACACGTCACGCTAGAAGGGTTCCTTGCTCTCAAGTCGAGAATTACACAAACAAAAACGACGGCGCCCATAACATTCAGGAACTTGCGTGCCTGGATAGCGTCCTCTGCCCAAATTACAATAAGAGCCTTGGTCTCTGTATCATCCTAGGTTGCACCACGCTCTTTTGATGCCATTTATTTAGGGATGCACGATATAATCTGCCCCCTATCGGTATCGGCCTTTAAACTGAATATCGGACATCGGCCACCGCACCGATATTTAACCCGATATTTGATCAGCTTCTGAGTTTCTAATGTCTAAAAAAAAAATACTACTTCTTCTTCCTCAAAAACTTTTATACAGACTTAAAAACTTCTAAAGACAAGGGAAAAAATATTGATACATTAAAATATCCCAATATCTTCAAATGCTGATATATTGCCATTTAAAAACACCATATCAATCTCTTTTACTAATTAAATATTGATATTTGTCATCGTTATGCTACGAAATCCCCCGAAAATTCACAAAATTTTGCCATATTTTTATATGTTCATATATTGACGCGGTATCGATCTATTTAACTAACAAAATCTCACAAGAATTTGCAAAATATCACGAGAGTTTGTAACAAAACGATGAAATTTCACGAGATTTTGAAAGTAAAATAGATCGATACTGCATTTTTAAAAATCAATTTGATATCAGCATATGAAATATATTTGAGTATATTATTTTTCAAAGTGTCAGAAATGGATAACAAAACTGCTATTTCAATGACTACTTATTTTTGTCCAGCTTTAACATCGGTATCGATATCGGTTATCGGCTACATGAGTTTTAAAATATCGGCATATCGGATATCGGCCAAAATCCCAATATCGTGCATCCCTACATTTATTGTTATTAGGCTGAGAAGAAGTTCATGTTATGAAAAGGTGAAGAGATCTGCGAATTGTGAAGTCGGACATGTCGGGAAAAAATGCAAAATGATCAGCTGATTGTACATAGGAGATGACGCAGCTGAGCCTTACTGTTGAACTAGTACTAGATTTATTGTGGTTCAATTGCGTTCCATTGGCACTCAACAGTTATCTCGGTTACCGTGCTCGGACCGTTCTCGGCACGGTTTCAAAGGGGTAGTGTAAATGGGGCTTAAGTTCTAAAAGAGCCACCTGGACTCAACTTAGAGCAGAAAGAGTTTTTGTTTTCTTCTACTGTTACAGTCAAGGTAAGTGCTTCCTGGAGGGGGCGGGTGATCTGAGAGCAGAATTCATTGTTTCTCAAACATGCGTCAATCAAGCAAAATAAGATGGATTTTAATGAAGAGCAATACAACTTTGTCAAAATTTAAAGGGTTGACTTTTGCATTATTTAGGCTCTTTAAAAAGTTTACAAGAAATTAGTTTTCTGATAATTTTCATGGTTTCTGTGTTTGTGAGATTTTAAGGCCGCACTTTATTTCTTTTCTATGCCGTTGACGTTTCTACCCCCGCGTGGCACATCTCATAATCTTCTCAGGTTACGTTTGATCTGTTGTTTTTTAATCTTCTTGATAGAAACATGTTTGTTTCTCCACCCTAACCTCACCATCAGTAGGTTAGACAGTGAGGTGTCTGTTCAATAAAAACATCTAATTTGAATGACTGTTTTGCCTGCTTGTATTAATGGCTTAGCTGTAAGAAAAGATTGAGATATGTTTACAAATAACCGTATTAAACACGATAAGCCCCTGTACCACCAAACCAATCATGGGTCCAAATGGAGCTTATATCTTTAAGCCGTACTTCTTTTCACAAACCAGATAAAACTTTATAGTTGTATTTTGTGGTTTGGTTTAAAAAAAATGCAGGAAAGTTTCTCTTCCCTTTTCTGTCTCTTCTAAAAACAGCCAGCCAGAGCAGCTGTCCAAAAGATTTACATCCGTTCATCTCTGCCTTTAATTACTTTTTCCCTTAGTACTTTTCATGATTCATATAAGCCCTTTTTTTTTTGCCGGCTGGAGTAAATAAACACACAAAGGCGATATTTTGTTGTGTAAACTTGAGCTGGGAGGACGACTGAGCATATCGTAGGGGTGAACATTTCATATGAATGCTAAAATGAATAAATAAATGTTAAAATATTTACTTTCTGTAACTGCCGGCAATCAACGTAAAACAGCTACAGCATCGGGGGTCTGTTTTAATAAACTGGTTTTCAGAAAAGTTTCCCTTATTTCAGGTTTAGAAAACTAAGAATTTACAGTTCCACAAAGACAGTTTTCTCAATCTCTGATTCTGTTGCCATAGTAACATTCTCCCCAAAGCTAACCTGGTCGGGAGCAGGTTTTGTTCAGTCCTCTGTCTCCGCTCTCCCTACTAGGGCTGGGTACCGAACTTCGGTACTTTTATGGTACCGACCGAAATGCTTCGGTTCTACAGAGTATCGAAACATGCCTCGTCTTTCGGTACCAAGTTTCGGTGATTGGCTGGAACACTTAAGGTGATTGCGTCATCCAGGAAAAATACACAGGTGGTCACGCCTACAGCCAGGGTTCATGTGTATCTTTTGTGAACTGGTTGCAGCGTCGCGGAACCCCTTTAAAATGCCCCCCAGGTCAAAAGTGCGGCTTCACTTTATTAAGACTGATGCTAATAGTGCACAATGCAATACATCGTGCACGGAAATAATTTAAGAGCAGAAAGTCGCTCTGTGTTTGACTGCAAGAAGAGCGGACCGCAGCCAGCGCGACCATCCTCCTCTCAGCAGCCCGTGGGCAGAGCAAAGCCAGAGCGGAGTGAATCATGCTGCTTTCAAACTGGACGCAGCAAGAGCAGCAAAATCACGTCTGCTGCTTCCTTTTTTGCTGCTTGTACCAGCTTCTGACGCGCTGCTGAAGAAGCTTTGCTGCTCTGGCTGCGCGGTCGCAAAGTGGGTCAGACGCGCGTTGGGCGGAGCTACTCTATCCTTTATTTGCCTTGCAGCTATATTTGCTGTGATCAGTGGGAATAAAGTAGTTTTATTATGTTTTTAAGTGGGAAAATCCACCTGAAAACGTAATCAGTGCAGTCAGTTCATCCTGCCTTCAATATTTCTGTCGGAGCCGCTCAGACCCCCCCCATACCAGCGGTGCGCTGTCAGTAGGATCCCGGGCTTGTTTGTCAGACATGGTAATTTTTCTAAAGGAAAACTGCAAAGTAAAAAGGTCCTCACAATGTAACAGTGAATATTAGACACTGAATTATTTATTTTTTTATGTAAGAGGAAAAATGTAAATGGAAAAACAGAGCTTAAAATAAAACTCAAGATTTGTACTATTTTATGTTGTGTAATTTTCTTTTTTTTCGAATTGATATTATAAAACTGGTATCGAAAAAAGTATCGTTCAGGAACCGGTATCGAAGTGAAGGTATCGGTATTGGTACCGGAACCGAAATTTTTTTAACAATACCCAGCCCTACTCCCTACAGCCATTTAGTTAGATTTTTTTGTCCTAGTTTTGTGGATAAAAAAAAAAATTATTCACTTGATCCGTTAAACCCATTAGGTTTTGAATACAAACATTTTGCGTCTGTTTGATAAGCATCTTATTAAACAATGATCAGCGCTTTTTAACAGAATTTAATATTTATAGGAAGAGGATGCTACAACTCGGTTGAAACGATATGAGATTTGTTTTTGCTTTGTTTAATATAAATAACATGCTCATTTTTAAACGTATTTATTTTTACAGTACATAAAAAACTACTGAAATTATTTTCAGATGGACAAATAGATAAATAGATTCATCAATTCTGCTCCACTGACTCGTGTTTTGCTTCTTTACACTTTTCTCCAAAAAACAGATGAGCTTTTCTGATCAGCAGATCTAATAAAACAACAGAAAACTCAGTTTGTGATTCTGTTTTCCTGCAGGTGAGGTGATCAAAATCAACATGTGGAGGATGCTGCTGTGCGAAGCCACAGCCGCCATCATGGCCAAAGGCTTCGACATCCTGGGCATCAACCCTGTTCAGAGGATGTGATTCCACTTTAGGAAAAAAAGGATCTCTGACACTTGAACCGCAGGACTGTAATTTCTCCTTTAATGTATCAAATTAAACCATGAAAAGAGAGAGTTTGAGTCTGGTTCATTAAATATCATCAGATGTGAAGGATTTTTTTTAAATAAAGGACCATTCTGAAACCCAAACTTTCCCTATGCTGTTTATTTGATGAGTTCTGCAGAGAAAATTGTCTGAACTACCAGCTTTTAGTAACGTTTTCCTCCACATTGCTGATCAGGTGTGCCAAGAAGGGAAATTGTAGTCTGAATTTCATTTAGGACCATTTTCCACACACAAATAACACCTGAATAAATACTTTCAGCACAGAAGGACAAAAGTCTGACTGAAGGGTCACCCAACACCTGCCCAAATTAAGTAAAACGCCTAGATCCCCCACATTCCTTCTCATTTTTGGCTTCAGCTGCAGAGGCTGTTGAAGCTTGAACCATTATTAGTAGGTGTGAGGATTTAGGACGTCTCCCAGATAACAGCCACTGATCCCTCAGTACAGCTTACTTTTCATCAGCTCTGGATCAACGCCAAATATATCTAAATGCAAAATTTGAAATAGATTACTCTAGTGACCATCCATGCATGGAAAATGCAAAACTTTCCAGTTTTGCATTTTGGGAAATTTTCAGTGAACTTCTTTTGCATCCACTAGACATTCAGGCTTAATCCCAATCCACCACCTAAGCACTACCCGTTTACTAGCAATGCAGTCACTCCCAGTTAAGTCACACCCACAGCTGTGGAAGGCATGAAAATGGGACGCCTCTTCCCTCACACGGAAAAGGAAATAAGTTTTTGCTAGTAAAAACAGAGTGACACCACATGTGCGTGGCTGTAGCTCTGGTGCAGGTTGACGCGACATCAAACAATTTTGCCCTTTCTTAAATATTTGCAGTGAGATGAAATGGGTTATTTATATATATATATATTTAAAAAAATGAATGAATATTCAGTGCAAGGTCCCTGCAATTATATTGGGACATAACATATGTATATATTTGGCCCTGTCTTTTCCTCCCTGTGGACACAGTGTAAGGCCAATTTTCCTGTAAAATACTACATTGTGGGGTTTACAGTTAATTGTGAGGACGACTCAACAGGTCCCCACAGGAAAATTTCTCTTCTTAGGTTGGGAGTTATGTTTAGGATTAATGTGCAAAAGTTTGGGGTCACATTGAAATGTCCTTATTTTTGAAGGAAAAGCATTTCAACATTTCAATGATTATAACTTTAAACTAGTCTTAACTTTAAAATAATGCACTCTATACATTGCTAATGTGGTAAATGACTATTCTAGCTGCAAGTGTCTGGTTTTTGTTGGAATATCTAATGAGGCAGAAGAAATTTAAAATAACTGTTTCCAAGCAGTTGTTTACTGTTAGGTGTGTATGTGCGTGTTTTTAATGTTCATTAAAAATAGCTATAAAGAATTGTACCAGAGAAAAGACAACAGATTTGTTTTTTTTTAAACAATGTAGATATATCGATGTAACTAGTGATGCCTCAGCTTCCATCAATGACTAACGGATATCTTCACCTAGTGTCATATCTTAGGCATTAATCATGCAAGAGCAGGCTTCATTTGTAAAGTCAATGGCTGCCAATGTAGCAGTGTGATGTTATTACACTAGATTGCCAAATAAGAAGCTATTCCGGTAGAAAATTATATGAGCAGTGGCAGCTTTTATTTTGAAAAGATGACAGATCCATTTCAAAACAGCTAGTAACTTCCTGTTTAAAAATTATTTTTATATAAATTTAATGTGTTGCCAATGAAAACGTGAAATGTCAAACATTGAGTCCTTGATTTGTTGTTTTGAGTGTTAGTTTGGGGTTTAAAAAGAAAAATGAACAGATCATACCATTGTAGTCTGTGAAGGGTTTTCCCATGCTCTCCGTCGTGCTCTTTCTGTTGGATTCCATGGGAGAAAGTATGAAGTTTTGTTTCTGTGTTCAATAAGTGTATTTTAAGGATGATAAGTGTCTGACTGTTATTTCCCATAAGACACAATGCAGAATCAACTACGCTACAAAAATGGTGCTGTGATCTGACGACTGATTAGCTGAAGCAGACCTCCAGTGTTGCTGGACAACGCCTCCTGGTCCCACCTGTGCCTTGGAGACATTGTCAGTGCGGAGTTCTTCGGACACTGTTGGTTGGAGTTTTTTTTTCATTAAGGGCATCAGGGAGGTTTCCTCGTGGAGAGTCAGAATGTGAAAGAAATATAAACTTGTAGTCATGGAAAATTATCCATGGGTCGCGGGAGAGGGGTTTTGCAGCTAGCAGCTGCTATGCAGTCTACTCCAGAAAATCCAGGGGGTTTGGGTCAAATTTGTTTTGGTCTGAGAGGAAATAGGGGTCTGATGAGCTGACTAGTCAAACTTTAAGTCCGGGTTTGAGCCCAGTGACTCTTTCATCTCCTCACGTGTTTGCTCCGGATGGAGAAGTGGCCTCCGTCCAATTAATTGATCTAATCAGGTCCATTTGTTCAGAAATAGGAGTCCATCAAAATGTCCTTGATGCAGAATGCTGCTTCAGAGTCTCCACCCGTCTTACCCGTTGATCACAACAAGAACACTGCACAGTCATTTCAAGGTTGCAATACTGTTATTGATGCATCAAAACTTAATCTTGTGTTACGCTCTGATGTTGATGTTCCACCCTATTTCAAGGGTGACAAATCTGATAAATGTTCAGTTTTTGAGTGGGAAGATCTCATGCAGGCCTACCTTAGACAGAAATCTACCACTAAGGCTGAGCAAGTTGAAGTGGTTATGAACAGATTGATGGGGAGGGCAAGAGATGTCACTAAAGTTTGGATGCATAGTACTGCAAATGCTGATGTTTCTGCTATCTTTAGCATTCTCAGGCAGCATTTTGGTGACACCATATATACAGACCTGCCTCTAGCTAACTTCTACGCTAGCACACCATACACAAGCAAGGGACCTCTTGATTACTGGATACGGCTAAACAAAGCTGCAGAGGTTGCTGAACTGTGCTTGGCTAGTAAAGGTAAGGTGACCAGATTTCTGAAATCAAATCTGGGGACATTTCTTGCTCGTGGATAAAAATCAATACATCTTATCGAGATGAAATTAGGAAACGGGGACAGTAATGGTTTCATATATTTTTACATATTTATTAATATTTAAACAACAAAAATCAAGTGTAAAAGCCAGGAATGTGCCTTTCCAAATGTTTAGTATATCCTAAGATTAATAACATGAATAGTGTTATTAGTAGAAAACTAGAACTGTGTCTCTGGGTTGGGGCAAAGTGGTGGGGGTGGGAGCGGAGGGGTCAAGGGTCATTAGCCGGGCTTTCCAATTTTGTCGGGCCCAAAGAGCTCTGCCGCCTCCTAAGGGGAGAGTGACATGAGGAAAAGAAATTTAGAAAAGTAAATACAAACATTTATTCTATGCCTGTGGCTGTCTGTTGAGACAGAGTTCCCCCACCTCTTCAAAAAAGTGCAACAAATACTTATTCTGTTTACATCTACTGTACATACCTATAAGAAATATTTTTTTTCTTCATTAACATAAAAAAAAACAAGTCGTAGTCAAGCCTGCAGGTAAAGGTTCATATATGTTTCTTACTGTCACCTAGCCACATCAATTCAATTCAGTTTATTTATATAGCGCCAAATTCACAACACATGTCATCTCAAGGCACTTTACAGTTCAACCAGATCATCCAGTCAGATTGATTCAAAGTTTTCTATCTAAGGAAACCAGTTGACTGCATCGTATCATTGACTCTTCAGCAATCCCTCACACTAAGCATGCTTGTAGCGACAGTGGAGAGGAAAAACTCCCTTTTAACAGGAAGAAACCTCCAGCAGAACCAGGCTCAGTGTGAGCGGCCATCTGCTGAGGCCGACTGGGGTTCAAGGAGACAGAAGCAGAGATACAAAAAGCAGCTGTAAAAGGCGGTCCCGTCCAGGAAACACACAGCCAGGCAGACGAGCTCCAAGGCAGCTCCCATGCCAGAGGATGAAGAGAGCACATCCACCCAGTCACGGTCAGAGAAACAGGACCACACTGGAAAACAGGCCGATCTCCAACATCTATAAACAAGGGTGTTGATGAAAGCAGCACAGCTGATGTTTCTTTCCAGGATGACGTTACAGCCAAACAGGAACAGACGAGGCAAAGCTACTCTGAGGAAAAGCAGAGAGAGCAGAACGTTAGAGATTGAACTAACAGATACTGCAGAGTGGGAGAATAGAGATAAAATGAAGCAGAATGATGAAAAAGGGGTCCCTATGTCCTCCAGCAGTCTAAGCCTATAGCAGCAGAACTATAGAGATAGCTCAGGATAACCTGAGCCACTCTAACTAGAAGCTTTATCAAAAAGGAAAGTTTTAAGCCTAGCCTTAAAAGTAGACAGGGTGTCTGCCTCAGGGACTAAAACTGGTAGTTGGTTCCACATCAGGGGCCTGTGTGTCTCAAAGTAGCAGGTTCATTTTTCCTACTAACCTGAGTATACAGCCACTCTTTGTTCCACAGCATACTTTGCACACTACATCACTCAATATGTTAGTTTATCACTCAAATCATGTCAACGCTTTATCACTTGAACTTTATTAATACATATTATACATTTTAACTGTTTGAAACAGAAATATTAACTGAACAGGGTCTGAGGCAGTGGCCCTGGTAATTTGGGTAAAATAATATAAGAGAAGACATAGCAAGTAAAAAGCAAAATAACCTTTTTAAATGTCTTAAACAAGTTTAACCATTGAACAGCAGAATAGGCTTAACATCAACACAATGTATATAATCCAAGAATAGTCCATATTTATAAACAGCAATAACATATACATATATAATTTCCTTCTTTTCACAGCTTCTGTATTGTGCATTAAGGCTTCCTCTTATGTTTCCTGCTCTCTGCTTTACTCCTCAAAGTAAAATTTTCTCCCTTCTTGTCAACCGTTTTTTTTCTATCAGAGTTCCTAGTTTCCTCCTC